CTTTGAGGAGGGGGATTTTTGTGAAAGGATCGCCTGCTGCGCTGCTTGGAGTGAGGGGGTTGGAGAACATTTTGTCGTGTGAGTTGGAGGTTGGAGGTTGGAGAGCGGAGAGTGGAGATTGGAGACCAAGAGCGCAGAGCAAGAGCTGGTGAGGGATTATGTATGGATTCCTGTGCTGTGCTGTGAAATAAATGTATATATATATATATATATAGACATATCGATGTATACTGACTGACTAACTAAGGTCTATACTAGTATCGATCGATCGAGAGTTGGAGTTGGAGTTGGAGTTGCATCAGATAACGTGGAGTGCAAGGATAAGCTAACTTAGTTCGATTGGATATTTAATATGGTTTGTACAGTATGTGTATGTATAGGTATATGTACAGCTATATTTTTGTCTATGTTGTTATCGCAAGTAGAGGGAAAAGCCGAAAAAAATGAAAAAGGGGAACAAAGTAAATAACGTGAAGAAGAAGAAGAAGAAGAAGAAGAAGAAGAAGAAGAAGAAGAAGACGAGAGAATAGAAGATAGGATTTGCCAAAGGTTTAAAAGTTGGCAAGATATAAAAGCTCGAAAACGAAAGGACCCCTGCAGGACTAGGAACCATGGCCAGGACCAGAAATAGATACTATTCTATCAACAGACATCAATAGAAAAAAGGAAAACACGAAAAAAAGTCGTTGCAAGATTTAGGAACAGAACGGAGTGGAGAGAAAACGGGAAAAGATTTCCATCAGGGACCGATGGAATGCTCCCACGCCGTCGCGACATCATTCGTCATCATCACCGTCATAAAATGCAAAAATGATAGGAAAGAAAGCCTAAGAACAGAATGATAGTAAAATAGAGTATGAAACAGTCCCACAATGTGGAAAATGGAAAAAAAGAAAAAACTACACTTCTGGTTTTATCATGCATGCATGGACGCCAACAACGGAGATGATGGGGAAAATTGGAAGTCGTTATTTCTCTATACAAAAACAAACCAAACCCCGGCTTTGTTGAAAGGCGTAAAAAAAAGGTACATACCTGCGGGATTGATTATTTCTTTTCATTTCTTTATTCGTTCTTTATTTTGGTCAACTCCCCCTGCTGTCATAATCCCGTGTCCGTCCACTGGCTCCACTCGATATTCCCCTCTGGCCCCGCGGTATCTACGCCATCAGCAGCATCGTTGGCCGCGCCAGCAGTTATATTGCCCAGTATATCATCCAAATCAACTCCCATATTCATCCCCATGCCCATTCCGAGGCCGCCGAAACCAGCCACTCCCATCCCCATCCCCATCCCCATGCCGAATCCGGGGGTTCCTGACATATGGTGGTCACGGCTGTCATGTGGATGATGCTGCTGCTGCTGTTGCTGCTGCTGGGATGATGGATGCTGAGGTTGTGACAGCTGGTGTGATTTTAGGTCCTGCCAGAAGAAAGACTCATCCGACATCGAGATGAGATCGGGACTTTGTAAGAGGCCTCCGGGTGACGTAGACGATGATGCGGATGCCATTGGGTCGCCAAGGGTGGAAAGCTGGGGGAACTGTTTCAGATGGGGTGGTAATGAGGAGGCGGTGCTACCGGATGTATCCTGGTTGTTATTGCTGCTGAAGGACTGGAAGCAGTGGAACGGGTCTAGAATTGGAGTAGACGCTGATGTTGGATCTGCAGAGGACGAGGACGATGTGAATCCAAACTGCGCTCCCGCGATGTTGGATTCGCCTTTGAAATGGTTGTTTTCAAGCGTCGACATGGGTTGAGTGGGATAGGCGAACGGGTCGTCGGAGGGGAACATCATAGGCATCAGATCCGGTATATAGGCCATACTATCCAAGGGAGGAGAAAATGAAGTGTCCTGTTTCACAGACGATGACACCGAAGGTGGCTGTTCTTGTTGTTCTTGTTGTTGCTGTTGCTGTTGCTGATAATTCTGCTGCTGGAGATTAGCGGGCAAAAGCGATTGCTGCGAGACAGAGATTGGCGACGGCGACGGCGTCAACGAACTTCGAAGCATATCCTCATCATTAACAGATGATGGAGTAGCCTGAGACAGACCAAGAGGGGACTGCTCATTCACCCTCCACGAGCGTGCGGCCTGGAAATGATGATTATCGTCAACACTAGCCCCCACTGTCTGAATCTTTGCTTGGCCCACTTGCTTCGACACAAGATGAACAGGGAATGTTTTTGATCTTTGGGGAGGCTGCACGACCATATTTTCCGATGGAGTAGCAGAGTTAGAGTGTGGCGGAGTCATTGTTCCCTTGGTTCTCGATGCTGGTGGTGGTGTAGGTTGAGCACGCTTCCTATTCAAGGGCGTCGGGGTGTTTCGTCGATTTTGCAATTTCTCCGGCAGGTGTTTGAAAATAGACTAAAGGGAGGCCCAGGCCTTTATTAGTAGATGAATTGAAAATTTGGCCGGAAGGGGAGAATAATGAATGGGGAGCAAACGTTTAAGCTCTGAGCACACCGATCTGCAGCCATGCTATTCTTAGCAAGTCCGGCAAGCGCATTCTTGCCCTCAAGCGCATCTTTCAAAATGCCATCCTTGACAGTAGCCGACTCGGGGTTTTCAAGGATGAAAAAGAGGAGCGACAAAACCGCAAAATACGTCGTGTACATCGTGAACCAGTAGGAGCCGTTGAGAAGCTTTTTCTCTTTCATCCCAGCTGTAATGTGAACGACATTGCGCGCCACACTCACACAGGCAGCCGCACATGCAAAGGACCGTTTGTCAATTTTCCGCTCTTGGGAGTTGCCGGTGACATAATGGAGGAATGGCCGATACATCACCATCTGCGCGTGGGCATAACCTATCCGAAGTAATTGCCTTACCCTGTTTGGGCAGTCAGTCAGTCAAGCGTGAGAGGGTAAATATTAGGTATCCGGGAATCCGGGAATACGGAAATACGGGAATACGTGTGGACAACACACCTTTCAATATGCGGAGGGGCATCCCCCCCGGGTCTGAATGAATCGGGGAGATCCTCATGCCACGCCTGCAAATCACGCTCGAGTTCGCGAATTTTCGAGTGGCTCACCATGTACGTATGGTTCGCGCTCTGATTTGCGATTTTGATCGGGTAGATATACTTCAGCACTTTCATGACAATGCGACCCAGACGGATGTGGGCGTTCACCCCGGCCATCAGAGTGATATGGTTCAGCGGGACTGGTAGAATCCTCTCCGCGGTGATGAACTCATCATCGACGGCTTGCGGGTATTCTTGATCGATGTCGTCCTCGCTGAGCATGGATGGCAGACCAAGGATTGTACTGACGTGGACATCCATCTTGCGCACCACCCAGAATACCCTTTTGCGAGTTTCTAGCTCGATAGGGTTAAAATTGGCCGAGACGGATCGATGGAGTCCAAGGCGAAGCGACGCACGCAGCGCAATGCCAATGTAGGAGTAGCAAGTGCTGATATTTGCTGACGACTGGAGGAATAGGATCATGAAGCAGACAGTTTGCAGAGAGGTGAGGTCACGGCATTCAGTGATGTCAAGAAGCTGCCGCCCCGCTTTGAAATATCGAAACCTATTTTTTTTTTTTTTTTTTTCATAGTTAGAGGTAGAATGTCAGGAAACAAACTCACGAATCACGCTGATGATGTATAGCCCCTCTGGTGGGGGAAGGAAAAGGAAGATAAAGGAAGAAAGAGAGAAGGAAAGAAAGAACAAAAGAAAAAAAGAAAGAAAAGAAAGAAAAAAGCACCCAGAAAACAAAACAGCCGTACGTACCCTTGATCCGTTGCGCTCTCGTAACCCGACTTATCGAATGTAGAATCGCCAACCCCTCTAAAGAGACAGCCCACGGCGAGGACAAGATATAGCAAGGGCAAGAAACTGTTCTCCTCGTTGGAGAAATTCTCCGGCGGGGTATCATATATTCGATCGAACATGACATAGAAGCTGGGCATGTGCAGCAACGGCATGATACAGCAGGCATCCTCGAGGGTATTCATACAGAGTTTGCGGGCAACGTCTCTGTCCGGCAGGTCATGAAGCGGGGACAGATGGGAGTCAATTGGGGATTCCGAGGACGATTTCGCGCCCTCGAGGATGTGGGAGATGTTCTGGAACTTGGTGGTCGGCCGGTCCTCGGGTCGAGGGTCGGGAAGATTGCCAAACTGTTTCCGCAGACGGCGCATGAATATCAACCCGGACGAGTGGCCATGGTAATCCCAGTGGCCTTGGTCGTCAACATCAAGCAGGCCCGTATTATCGACCATCGATTCCAGAAGCGATTCCTCACCCCGCTCGTGGCCCGCTGGCTGCTGTCCCGCCGAGTCCGCGTCGTCGGAGATCTTCAACCGGTCTCTGATCCGCGCCACCAGCTCTTCCTGGCCAACGGTATCGAAGCGAGGGTCGTTGATGTCAAGATCGGGGATGACGGTGCGGAGAATGGCCTCCGCCTTGTGCACCCGGTTCTCGAGTGCTTCGATATACTGCGGGGCAGGATTTCGCCGGCGGTTCGAAGGCTGATCATAGGTGCAGTCTAAGGGAGGAGAGAAGAGAAGAAAACGACTCAAAACGAATCAGCCACATATTCAGTTTGAAGGAGAGTTGGGGGGGGAAGGGGGGGGGAAGACATCTCTAAAATCAAATGCACCACCCCGTTAACATACCGTAGCTGTAAACCGTGCAATGGGTACACGGCTGCTTGCCGTCGCACTTGATCTTCTTCCGTCGACACTCATCGCAAGCCCTCGTCACCCTCCGTCGCTTCTGCAGTGGCGGCGCCTTCGGCTGTACAGTGTCCGAACCCGGGCTCTTCACATCTGGAGGGGTCTCTTCGTCCGAGTGATTGTTCGAGCCGCGCCAATCCAGCGCGTCATGGGCCTCGTCGGGCGGCTGCTGGCCCTTCTCAGAACCAGAACCAGAACCAGCACCAGAACCAGCAACACCGGGAGCCGTGGCGCTATCCTGAGGGCTCGTCATGGTGGGGAATTGACACACTCTTTGCCTCAGTCTGCACAAGTCACATCGGAACGTAGCGAATATCGAGTCGAAGGGAGTGTGATGGAGGTAGGGATGGAGATGGAGATGGTCGCCGTCGTTCACTGCTGGTGGTGGTGGTGGTGGTGTCGAGCCGGGACATGCTAGTCTCCAAGCTGGCCAGCGGGTTGCCAGTCGCTGGCAGTGTGGACGATGTCGCCGGGACAAGCAAGAATTCACGGATACGAGGGATGGTAGAAGGCAGCGGTGGATGAGTGCTATCCTGGGGACTGGGTGACTGACAGTCCGGACGTGGGGGTTGTTTGGTGGTTTCGGTGTGTCTCGGTGGGCCGCGGAACTGGCCAGCCGAGAAGGGAAAGGGGGGGGAAGGGGTCCTCGGAGATCAGAGGGAGCTCGGCGGCGGAGAAGGCGGAAAAGCGGGCAGGCTGGATGGAGAGAAAAAGGAAACAAAAACGGGAGAGAAGAAGAAAAAGGGAGGCGGGTTGGATAGAAATAGTCAACTCCAACCAACTAGCGAGTTGAGTGAGAACAGCTGTGTGGTAAGCGAGGGCGAGGGCGAGGGCCAGCTCGGAATTCGAGATCAAAAACTTCCAAAATTCAAAATTCAAAATTCAAAATTCCAAAATTCCAAAAGTCAAACCCGGCGGAAGCAAGATCGCAGAAAGTCAAAAAACTCTGCTGGCCCTGGCCCTGGAGGCCCTGGAGGCCCTGGACCATGGGGCATGGGACATGGGCCAGGGGGAACACCGTGCCGACTGTGGTACGGCCGGAGCAGGTACCAGCAAGCGCTGTCTTGGCGCCACGGGTACGCCTTGCCGAAGTACCCAGGGCTGGTGAGGAATCAATCGAGCACAGATCCAGTGGAACAGAAGGCTAACACTAAGGCAATGTCCTTGGGGATTCCTTCTCCCTTCTCCCTCTTCCCTCTTCCCTCTTCCCTCTTCGGCCCCGGTGAAGACGGCTCGACCAGTTGCAGTCAGCTGCCACCGCCCCAGCTGCAGGTCTACAGCCTGGTAATCGGGATACGGGATACGGGGGATACGGGATGGAGGATATACTGTCCATGTGCTGCAGTTAGTTACCTATGGCGATTCCAATAATAATACTAATAATAACCCGTAACGGTGGCTGTTATGGTCGATGAAAAGAAGGTCCTTTGTGTCTGGAGGGTTGTAACTAGTTATTTGCATATTTTCACATCCCTCTTCCGCTTGATTTAAAATTCTCTACGCAGAGAGCCTCACACCGTGACTTTCCAGATCGTCATCCAAATGCTTGTTCATGATCTTGTTTTTTTGGTCCCCTGGGCGACGAAAATAGGGCCACCGTCGGCCCCACCAACCACCAATGGTTTTGACTATGACCACCTACTTCTGTGTGAACCAAAGGCGGGACAACCTGGGACAACTACTCTGCAGTTTCTGTGGCCAGCTCGCATTTCTCCCGGCCAGAACATGAAGCGGCAATTCCGGCAGGCCAGGGTCGTCCCCAATGCCGCTTACGTGGGGTGCTGAGGAACAGCGGAGGGGGGTGGATCATGATGCCATTGTGTGTTTGGGAGTGTCTCCATATCTGCTACGTATACGGATAGAGCCCGAAGATGTGTCCGCCGTGACCAATGAGACAACGCGCATCGGGGTTTGGAAAGGTGACCTAGGCTTGCCGAGGCATGACGTCAGCGAGGCTGCTTGTATTGTACGATGAGATCTAGATAGATAGGAATGCCCGTGCATCATATGGAAAAAGTCCCAATGACCACGTCTATCTATAATCTCTATATCCCTCTGCAGACTTCTGTTTTGGATCCATTGTTCACTGTGTAAATTCCCTTATACCCTTCAAGATGTTTAATGAATTGATAGAGCCCAGCTATGGCTCATTCGGTAGAAGGAGGATTGTTTGCAATTCTCTCTATGATGACAGAATTTTGCATATTTTTGACAGAGATTTGATATTTTCTAAGTTTTATTGCAGTTATAGACTTTCTTACGGCTTCTAGAATGCAAATCTTCAGTTGGTTGAGTAATTATTTTTTTTATTTTTTAATAAGCCACCCAAAGGTGGAACTCGCGGGTTGGGGCAATGGGGCACAATTAGTATACATCTTCATCTTCACCGTTGATACTGGTTAACGGCCCGCGAACACTTCTTGGTTTTTTGGGCAATACACGTATGTACATACATCACCATATGCTGTCGGGAATTCTTGCCTCTGCCTCTGCCTCTGCCTCCAATTCGGATACGTCCTTGATTTGGAGATGGCAGATCCAATGTTCCACGACTCCGTACTGTACTGTCTGTACTCTAGAAGACAACCGGCCATCAATTCTTCTTCTTGATCTCCTGAAAAAGGAACCCCATCATCCACCAGACGAACGGTTGCCGCGCGTCTCCCACCAGACCGACCGACCCCCAGAAATGGAATGTATGTATCTGGCGGAGGAGTAAAGATTCTCCCCCCTCTCCCTCCACCCCCCCCTTCCTCCCCGGCGAATGGCCACTCAACCTAAACCCCATCCATATACCCAGCGGGAGAAGCTGTGCGCACAGGTGGGCATTTGTCATCGATGAAGGCAAGGCACACAAAGTCTCGCGTGTGAGCCGCAACCGCTGCCCGTCCCGCGCACAACACACCCCTTCCTTCCTCCCTTGCCTTTGTCGACTCGACTCTAACTCCCTCAGTCTCACACTGGATATGAGCATATCCGGGCAAGAAATACCTTGGCCCATGGATAGAGAGATAAGTCCATGGCATGCGGGTGATCGACGCCGGGGAGGACGGCGCCCAATCCAATCCAATGTCCTTCCCCCCACCCCAACCCCAACCCCGTGGACCGCCAGGGAAAAAAAAAAAAAAAAAAAGAATCCAAATCCCGAGCAGCGCTAGCAGGGGCACGCGTGGCTGCGAGCAAGCCAATCAGCGGCGGGGAGCGACATGTTGTTCAGCACTCACACTCACGCACCGAGCCTGAACCTCCATATAAGGTACCGCAGTAAAATTCTCCGGTGTGGATTTAGAGAAAACGAATTGTGTTTTGGGGGGGGGGAGGATATCGTACGGGGTACGGAGGAGTTACATCCATCATCCATCATCCATCATCCATCATCCGTGCTCTAGTTACCCGTTTATAAACGGAAGCAAGCCCCTTTCATAACCTTGGGAGAGTTCGTTTTTGCTTTCCGCCCATGACCCTCGCAAGTCACCCGCCTTTATAATTCCAGCTCCCCGGGGGGGAAGAAGGGGGGGAAGGCTGGTAGATGCGAGTACTGCGTATGTATGGATGTATGTATGTATACTCTGTAACAGTGAGTGCCTCCATCGGTAGCTAGAGAGAAGCTCCAAGGAGGTGGCGGTGGTGAAATTGATAGCAAATATGCACTACATACTACATTTTCGTAGAGTTCAATAAGGCCCCCGACTAGACCGAATAATAATAGATTTGATTCGAACTTCCTGCAAATAGGTATATCTATTATATATATGTATGTATATATGTGTGTGTGGGTGTGTGTGTGTGCGCTGGTTCATAATCCCCCCCCCCGGAACCATTTAGCTGAATTGGGGTTTCCACTGCTCTCTGTACTCCCGCCCAAAATCATTTCGAACAGTAGTATTATTACTCCGGACAAACAGAAAGGTGAAAAAAAAAAAAAAAAAAAAAAGATGAAACGAAAAGTAAAAATTTGAATTGAATTTGAATTGCAATGATTTCCATTCCTGAATAACGGGGATTTGTCAACTCTCGGGCTTCTGGCCCCACACTGCATACCTACAAAAGGAGGGCATATCACAGTTAGTCAAAGACTTGCATTCCATTGAGATTGAAAATAAATGCCCCTATTTTTCATTTTTCATTTTTTTTTTCTTTTTCCCTGCCTGGATGGCTTGCATCGCAATCTATTATAAACAGCAGAAGCCGAAGATGCGAGAGCCCTGGGGACGGGGAGGGACGGGAAGGGAAGGGAGTAAGGCCCAACTAAGGAAACAGAACATACAAATCGAACAGGACATGCACATCGGGTCTCCTGGCATCGCTGCGGGCTTTGGACGTCAGGATCTGGACTTCCTGTGGCGCCCACCCTTCGTATCGCGTCATCACCGCCATGGCTCCCCCCTCGATGGCCTCGACGAACTGCATGAGATTATACGCGCCCATTCGTTTCTGCATGGTGTTGTTATGTATATATATACGGAGCTCGTTAGCGCGCGGGCGCTGAGTTAGGGGGAAGACGAAGAAGGAAGAATACCAAGGCTGGGCGAGAGGAAAGAAAGCAGGCTGGCATTGCCATTGTTTTGCTTTGCTTTGTCCCCCTTATAATATTCTTGTTTGAGGGGGGGAGGGGGGGATTTTCCTTGTTGTCCTTGCCCTTCTCCACTGTAAAAAAAGGAATATCAGATACGCACATTTTTCCCTCCCTTTGCCCACGTCCCCAGCGGAACCCGATACTTCTTGACATGGACATTTACAAAGCCAGCATCGGTAATCCACTGTTCAAGATGCTTTCCGGGCTGCGTGTAATACCCCTGCTTGATAAATGCGGCCAGGACCACGTTATAGTAATGCTCGAGGTCCGTGCCCGTTAACGATCCGTCGACAGAGTAAGGATGCGTGTCCCAATCATGGAATTCGACCCATCCCCCAGGTTTCGTGCAGCTAGGGATCGCACGCGTAGGTTAGCTGAGTAGAGTAACGTTATTCATTCACAATGCCTAAGTAGGTAACTTCTCTTTTTCCCTCACCCGCCTCTCCAAAGGGATGAAAAAACAAAAAGGCGGAAAAGTTTAAAACAGGGAGGGGGAGGGAATGTACTTGTAGGCCTGCTCCAGTAATCGGGGCATATCTCGGATGGATTCAGCCAGGTAGCGAGCGTGGATGAGGTCAAACGGGGTGTCTTCATACAGCCAATCCGCTTCGACGTCGTCAACGATGAATTGCAAGTTTGGTGGCACTCTGTACTACATCGTAAGTCCAAATGTCGCACGGATTTCAAATAAATAATAACACGTCTTTTAATTTTTCCTCTTCCCTTCCCGAGCGGCATACAAAAGCAGTTACTGACAGTGAGGGTTGGGTTGGTGAGAGGTCGTTTCCAATCACCTGATATCTATCAGCTTTGCATTTTCATATCCACCGTGGACAGCACTCGATAGAGTTTTTTTTTTTTGAGTACATACTTCGCATTCGGGAAACATGTCCGCTTTTCGAATAGGACGTTAGCATTGCATATTACAAGGCGCGTTGTCAAAGCGGGCCCTATTTTATTTCAAGAGGGAAATACCAAATTCCACTGCCCAAATGCCGGAGCCGGTGCAGAGATCAATGACCTTCGTGGGGTTTTTAACGGGCGCGAGAAACAGTCTCTCATCCATGATAGTCATCACCAGCGCGTGGTGGATATCTAGCCGTTCGTTCTCTTTGTCATCGTTGGGTAAGAGATAGGCTTGGGATGTATAAATCAGTTGTCTTGCGGGCAAAAACTCAACGAATATTATCATCATACTTACAGCCTTCCCGGTATAGATGGTATCTTCTGTTGTTCTCCATTCTCCCGAGATACTTTTCTGCATCGCTGGAAATGGATCTGGAGTACAGGTCTCTATCATTGTCCAATACCCCTCCATGCTTTGCCCGCCAACAGTCATGACCGGATGCTCACCCATTATCTCCATAGCTACTACCGGTTTCTTCGGTAGCCTTTTCGAAAAAAGAAAAAAACCATTAATATATCCCCTAGTTGCATGGAACAGTTTGGGTCGGGGGTTATATATGACGGGTGGGGGAAAGGGTTCCTCTTTTGCTTACCTGGTCGTCGACTTCTGGAAACTGGCTCGAAGACCGGGTTTTCCTACTTTCAGGATTCGAGGTAGCCATCCAGACGGAGTATCCAGAGTCAACAGCTACTGGAGCGTGGATTGTAATACCGAACGTGAAATTTAGTCTGGCCTGTAAAACGCTGTAGACAATAAATGATACTAGTAACTATACCAAAAAGGATACGCCCTGCCAAGGTGAGAGCTGAGGTCCCAAAAACTCAAAAGCTTTCACAAAAAGAAAAGAAACGAAACAAAAGGAAAAAAAAAAAAGAAGCTACAAATGGCGAATGTTGCTCGCCAGAAAAATAAGATAGCAAAAAAGCCAAAGAAGAGGTTGAGGGGCTGGGGTCCAGGCCACTAATAAGTAGTTGCAAACCGGGCATTTGGGACCAACAAAGAACGGATTCCAAACAAGTAGTCAACCTTCTTCACCAAGTTCACCCCATCATCGGCTGCCGCGCTGAGGGGCCAGCGCATCGGATGGTTTTCGCAATTCAATGCAGAGGCCAGTCGGATCAATTTCAAGCATCAGAATGACATAAAATGACATTCCAGACGTTCTGCTTCCCATGCATCGACGCTGCCAGACACGCCGTTGCTTTTGGGTTGGGACTCCCACGGGTTCTAGGAGGAATCAAGCGGCATGAATGCAAGGAGAAATCGAACCGCCAGCATGGCATCCCAGCACATTGGTAACGGATTTGTTTAGTCCAGATTTCCCAACTTTGAGACTCTAGGAATAGGCCGGGGGTCACCGCTGAAGCCTGCACGCTCGGGCGCAGGGTTCCTGCACACTTTGAATGAAATATCATGGAAAATGACGCTCTGCTGGCTCGCTGAGCCGCTACGCTTCTTTTGAATGCAGTAATGTTGAAAGGAGATCCCCTCAAAAATGCACCAACAAGGCTCCGGCCTTCTAGGATCTTAGCCTAGGCAACCTACGGTGAGTGTTGATGCGCAACATCGAGATAGTTGGGGCAGGTGGGAAGGACGTTGGAGTGGATGTGTGCAGTAGCTACGTGCTACCTGCGTACTCCGTACACAGTATGGAATGTTCGCACATAGTCAGGCCTCCCTTCCTGTCCATTCTTCGCCAAATCGTCATGGAGTGTCTGGAGTTTGGTTCCCAGATGTGGCAATGGCCACCCAGATTACCCCGTAGGCTAGACAAGGATTCCCTGCAGTCACCTTTTAGTCTCCCAATCGCGCTGTTCGATGCCAGGGAGCGAGAAACCCCGAGGCTCCAACCGCCCATCCCTTGGACGTCCAAGATTGGCTCATCAGGTGATAGTCGTCGGCATTTTGTTTATGCCCACCTCGTCATCCTTTGAATGAATGCTGACCAGAAGACGCCTTTCCAGCCTAAAAACATCTCGGGCAGGTTGTGAGAGGAAGAGGGAAGCCATGTCGATGGGGTGAAAGCCCGAGATTTTGCTCGGGTTGTTTTATCATGACAATGCAAACCATCAAGGGACAGTGAGGGCATCGTTGAGATCCCAAGGAAGCTTTCATTTTGTGGTTCATAAGCCGTGCATGATGCAATCCAGCGCCCTGTTTGATGCATGAGAGATACCCGTCCAAGGAGACGCCCACCGGGCCACCGCATCACCGCATCTCCACAGGCGACCAAGCTGTTGGGATCCCTCTGGTCAGCCCATAATAATTTCCACATGAAAATTCCAAATTTTAGGGCGAAGATGGGTATAGTTTTAGACAGGGTAGTTCCCATGCGCTTGCGTCCTTTGACTCCTCGTCTCAATTATTGGCCATACGAGGTGTGCGGGATAAGTCTGGCACTATGTGATATGTATTGAATCGCGGGAAGTAGGTTAGCTGAGTCTGCAATCGTAGGCCTCGAACCATATACCATGCATTCACGTCAAGTTCTGACATTGCTATTTCACTCGCCGTTGGTGCCAGAAACTGCTTCAAATTCGGCCCGAATCATCTCGTTGTTCAAGCGTTTGTCGAGGTTATCAAGGAGTTTCCAGCAGCCATCTGCTCTCCCACGCAGCGTACGAAGTACTGGTAGTTCACACGATATGGAATCATCCCGAGAGGAGAAAAACCGACAGAGCTCTTCACCCCTCCCTAGTCCATATTCGCGATTTATAAATATCTGGATGCCAGTTCAACACGGTCGTTTTGTAATGGAGGACCTCTTCATCAAAGTGATCCCGATCCCATGGAACAGTTGCAACTCCCAAACACCCACCATCGACGTTTGAATTTCCATGCTTACGAGTTAACTAGCACCGGGCTTCGACCGAAACTTTTGGCTCTGTGGCTGAACAGGATGCTCGTGCGCTTGCTTTCCTTCCTCCCTCTGCGGAGCTTCAGAGTTCAGCCTTCACACCCCCACAGGCCGGTCTCAAAAAGCTTGCACTGGCCACCAGGCCATGGGCCAGAATCAGATCCGGCGTGATGTTGGAACCCGATATTAACCCGCGACTAGGCATTATCTGACTGGCTGCCTTAGTTAGCCTCCAGGAGGCAGCATCCAGCCTTACGCCCAAGATGCGAAAAATTCGAGACAGAGGCAACGGACATCCGTTGATTTGTGTGTTTACTTTCTCAATACAGGATAACCCTTCCAGTAATTCATCCAGTGTGATAGGATAGGGTCTGTCTGCAATTGAGATATGTCAGCTTTGTCTTAAGTCGTTACAGCACAACATATAACCCGAAATTCGAGATTCGCACTTTTCCTCTACCTTTTTTTTTCTATGAATGCCTGTACGCGCTTCTGCCATGGTGTGTGAAGTGCACTGTTTCATGCACGTTGGTCGGAATCGCAGTCATTGCAAGACCTGAGTTTGAAGGGCCCTGGGACTCCGCAAACTGCCGCCGGACTGCATAAATTGAGCAGATAGAACCTAGTCCGGCAGACCGCACAGGGCCATTTATCCATTTTTGACATCCTACATAGGATAGGCATATTCCTCAAGTTGTATGCTACGGGTGTATAGTACAAAAGGAAAAGAGTTATGCCCTACGTTCTGGTGACGATTTGCTGCGCATTTGCTGCTTTGGGCTCCTTTCTTTTTGGCTACGATTGCGGTATCATCTCGTCGAGTATTGCCCAGGATGACTTCGTACAGAGATTCAAGGGTCAATTGAACGACGCCTCTACCGGCGGTATTGTTTCGTCTTTCACTGGTGAGCGGTCATTCCACCTTGACCTACATTCTGATCCTCTGATCGATGTGCCTCGAGAAGGAGCCAGAGTAACTAATGTCATTATTTCCCTCGTAGGAGGCGCTATTGTTGGATCTCTTGGAGTCTCATACCTATCCGATCTCCATGGTCGACGGATGGTCATTTTCGTTGGCGGAATCCTGGGCACTCTAGGAGCTTGTCTCCAAGGCGCAGCGTCTACAATTGCAATGTTAATTGTAGGGCGCTTTACCGCCGGAGTAGCCGTTGGGATAATGTCTGCTACCATCCCTGTTTATTGCGTATGTGCCGCTATGTTTTTGATATTTAGTGCATAAACGATGAGGATGAGTGACTCTCAATCAAATATGATTTCCTAGTATTTAGTGCCCTGACTTACCACCCTTGAAATAGTCCGAAATCGCACCTCCTAGCATTCGTGGGTTGCTCGGCGGCATGCAACAGTGGATGATTGGATGGGGCTTCTTCATTGCGGTATGTCTCTGGCGCATCAAGTTCCTCCCATCGAGCCAACGTACCATTGCTACAAGTACTGCTAGCCCAAAGCCCTCGCATATTCCAAAGTTAACATTATATATCAGCAATGGGTTGGCTTCGGCAGCTCCCATGCGAGGTACTCCTTCTCCTGGCGTTTCCCTCTAAGCCTCCAAGCCTTTCCTGCTCTACTTCTTGTTGTTGGAGCCTTATTCCTCCCTGAATCACCGCGCTGGCTTATCGAGCATGGCCAATCCCAGCGCGGGTATGATACCCTCGTCCGATTGCACTCAACCCGCGCACATTCCAATACCTCACTCATCCAGCAGGAGTATAAACAAATATGCGAAACCATCTCCATCGAACAGCGCGAATCCTCGAAATCCTGGCGCGACATCCTTCTTAAAAACCCAAGTTGGCGCCGCCGCATCCTCCTCGCAGCCGGAATCCAGGCCTTCACCCAATGCTCTGGTGTCAATGTAATCCAATTTTACGGCCCCCGCCTCTATGCGACACTGGGCTTCTCCACCTCACGTTCGCTAATGATTATCGGTATCTCTGGTGCCCTGGCACAGACTTGGAACACGCTGTGCCTATTCCTGCTCGACCGGGTCGGCCGGCGTAAACTACTCATCCCATCCTTACTAGGCATGGGCGCCACACTATGCGTCGAAGCAACGCTATCACACTACTTCAACCCGGATAGCTCGACAAATGCGCACGCCCTCCGCAGCGCCGTCGCTATGTACTTTGTCTTCTCGCTCTTTTTCACACCCCTCGGTGTGTTGTCGTGGATATACCCCGCAGAGATCTTCAGCACGCCCATCCGGGCCCGCGGAACCTCCGTCAGTACATTCGTCAACTGGTCATTCAATCTGTTGTTTGCACAGTGTGCACCAATTGGACTGTCAAGGTTGGAATATCGATTCTTTTATTTCTTTATGGCGTTTAATTGGGTCGGAGCAGCGATGGTTTGGTTGTGGTATCCGGAAACCGTAGGGAAGACGTTGGAGGAAGTGGAAGACGTGTTTAGGGATGGAAATTTGACATCGAGGGTGACTCGCGTGGCAAATGGGCTTACCCCTCGCAACAGTGGTTGTGAGGAAGCCTCGGTGTCTCCCGCTGGAGGACCTGTACAGGAGACGAAAGGAGCCGTGTAAATGGTGCCGTGGAAGGAGTGATTGGATCATGGGCGTTTGGGCGATGGCGATGGGATGCGGACCTCCAAAACGTGTATATTTCTTTCATGGTAAAAGTAATTACTTGGGGTTGACTGCGTAAATACCCCCTCACTACTTTAAGAAACATCGTCGTGCACAACAACGCTATGAGCAGGGGAAGTGACGGAGAGTGCTAAGGATATCTTATGAACCACTGAGATATACATTGTGTGCGTGAAAATCTTCTTCCTTTTCTTCATCCTATGTGAATCTATCCCTCACAGTATCCTTAGAAATAGTTAATGAACATACATAATAGCTTCCCAAGTTCAATTCTCCTCCCCCAAACTTTCTCAAACCTCACTTGATATATGTGGACAGTTATAACTGACCAAATGTACGCTGTATATTCGCAAGGTCAAATCTGTCAAGGCTGTTTTGCGACGGTATATGGGCAATTTTTAAATTAAGCTGCCTAACTAAAGCGCCATACTTGCTCTTTAACATTATAACAAAATAAAAAGCATGGGTTCGCTTAGCCGTCGCGAAGCAGGTATCTACAATATAAATATTTCTATATTTCTCCAACTTGTTGCACTCAAAAACCAAAGTGAATGTGTCCTATTATGACGATTCGCACGTAATTTCAGGAATTAGGAAAGAAAATAGAATTAATAAAGGAAAGAAAGAGATTCCAAAAATACGACGTGCAGTAGCTTTAAGTACATTCACTGAAATGTAACGGTCAGGCCATTCATTTCTCCGCTTGCCATCATTATTTAGAGCTGCGTTAGGCCTGAGAGCAGCAGGAAGGCTGCAATAAAGGCTGTCGAGCCTCTAGCCGATGGCTCTGCAGCTCCAGAGTACGTGGGCGACTCAGAACCAACTGTGGCAGTTGGGTAGATGGCAGTGCTCAAGGTATATGGAGTAGCTGGGATAGCCGTATCATAACCTTGATTAGGGAGGGTCGGGTAAGGTGGAGTTGTCGGTTCTGTTTCCACCAAGTAGACCGTTGTTGAGATAGGGATGGTCTTCGTGATAACAGTGGAATACCCGCCAGCTGGACATGACGGGACAGAAGGAGGGCAGCTGGTGACCGTCTCATAGGTTGTTGTATAAACGGTGGAGGTAGTGTAGGTGGATTGTGGGGGGGTTGTTGCCTCTGCCTCTACTGGACAGACCGTTGTTGCTATAGCAACGGTCCTCGTGACGACAACGGGATATCCGCCAGCTGGGCATGATACAACGGAAGGAGGACAACTGGTGACCGTCTCACAGATTGTGGTGTAGATGGTAGAGGTAGTGTAACTCGGTGCTGCGGTGATGGTCGACACAGGGTAGGCATCGGTAGGAGCAGGGCTGGCAGGATAATCCGTAGCATCGGTAGGAGCGGGGCTGACAGGATAATCCGTAGCATCGGTAGGAGCAGGGCTCACAGGATAATCCGTAGCATCGGTAGGAGCAGGGCTCACAGGATAATCCGTAGCATCGGTAGGAGCTGGGCTCACAGGATAATCCGTAGCATCGGTAGGAGCTGGGCTCACAGGATAATCCGTAGCATCGGTAGGAGCTGGGCTGACAGGATAATCCGTAGCATCGGTAGGAGCGGGGCTCACAGGGTAATCCGTAGCATCTGTAGGAGCAGGGGAGACAGGATAATCCGTAGCATCGGTAGGAGCAGGGGAGACAGGGTAATCCGTAGAATCGGTAGGAGCAGGGGAGACAGGATAATCTGTGGGTGTAGGCTCGGGGGTCACCGGGTAATCCGTAGCATCTGTAGGAGCAGGGGAGACAGGGTAATCCGTGGGAGTAGGCTCGGGGGTCACCGGGTAATCCGTAGCATCTGTAGGAGCAGGGGAGACAGGGTAATCCGTGGGAGTAGGTTCTGGGCTGACGGGATAATCTGTCGGAGTGGGCTCAGGGCTCACAGGGTAATCTGTTGGTGTTGGCTCAACGGGGTAATCCGTGGGTGTTGGCTCAGGGCTCACAGGGTAATCCGTGGGTGTAGGTTCAACAGGATAATCCGTGGGTGTAGGTTCAACGGGGTAATCCGTGGGTGTTGGCTCGACGGGGTAATCCGTGGGTGTAGGTTCAACGGGGTAATCCGTGGGTGTTGGCTCGACGGGGTAATCCGTGGGTGTAGGTTCAACAGGATAATCCGTGGGTGTTGGCTCGACGGGGTAATCCGTGGGTGTAGGTTCAACGGGATAATCTGTAGGCGTTGGCTCGACAGGATAATCTGTTGGTGTAGGCTCTACAGGATAATCCGTGGGTGTAGGTTCAACGGGATAATCTGTGGGTGTAGGTTCAACGGGATAATCTGTAGGCGTTGGCTCGACAGGATAATCTGTTGGTGTAGGCTCGACAGGATAATCTGTGGGTGTAGGTTCAACGGGATAATCCGTGGGTGTAGGTTCAACGGGGTAATCCGTGGGTGTAGGTTCAACGGGATAATCTGTAGGCGTTGGCTCAACGGGATAATCTGTAGGCGTTGGCTCGACAGGATAATCCGTGGGTGTAGGTTCAACGGGATAATCCGTGGGTGTAGGTTCAACGGGATAATCTGTAGGCGTTGGCTCGACAGGATAATCCGTGGGTGTTGGCTCGACGGGATAATTAGGGTCTGGGGAACCTGGGGAACCCGGGAAGCCTGGGAAGCCTGGGAAGCCTGGAAACCCGGGGAAACCTGGAAACCCGGGAAACCCGGGGAAGTTGAACTATAAAATTTCAAGTTAATGGCAGGAACCACAAGTAGAGATTGTAGAGCAAGCATACAGTAGCGGAAGCACGCTGCAAGGCAAAAGCCGACAGCAACGCAGAGCCAAACGCAACCTTCATTGTGACCGATGGTGGAGACCAAGATGGTCAGGGAAATTAAATTAAATTAAAAATATCAAGTATATAGGATATGATCATAGATCATCAAACGATTGGCAGTGTCACTTCATAAACGAGTGACGAAAGAAACAGGAGAGAAGGACCTGAAGGGGAAACATCGACAGAGCAACAACCACATCTTTGACCCGCGAGAAATGGCCGTTTTTATACACCATCCTGAACCATGAGGAACGATGGGAAACCAATCGTCCATGATCAAGATGCCAAACCTTATCGGACATACAAGCGTCGACAGGGGATCCCTCCGAAATATGACACTAGTGTAAGTGTGCCTGAGAGGCGTTCAGGAACAGGTCTAGTTGCTTGTCATAGCTTCGCGGCGTTCCAGGATTGGGTCGAGAAACCGACCTTCCCCCAGCATCATGCAATTTGGCGAGTGTTCCTTCACCAAAAGAGGCCCGGAACCCCCTCGTCCAGATCTGAGTCAAGATGGAAATAGCCGAAGTTTGCAGTAGACATTGGAAAAGAGAGAGAACATTCTGAGTCTCTGATAATGTGCCAGTTCCATGGAGTTCTGATGCTGTCAGGCGTCAACCCATCGGTACTCAATTCTTGTTGTCCGTGGAAAATAATAATCTCGAATGCATCCGACAGCAATTGTTGTGCGACAAGCAATCGGCCCACATCTCCTCATGCAAGGATGTTTTGTTGACGAGAGGACAGAGTTTGCTCCTCCACCTCTGTTCCCTCCAGTGGTTGAAGCGAGGCTGAGACACTGCTCGGTGGCTCTCGCTCTCCGCCAATTAACACGGTGTTTTGCTGACCGGCTTGATGGCGGGCATTGGTGAACAAACGTATCCATGAGCTGGCTCTGCCACGTGTAGGATGCTCCCTTTTCTTTTCTGACTTCTTCCCGCGTCACGACTCGCGAGAGAAATCCAAAGCCCCAGGTATCGTAGGCACTGACTGAAGGACGCTGAACAGCAGTAATAGATCATTGCTTGCGACGGGTTGCCTTCAAGCACACAGTCTTCGTTACTATCCGCAGCCAAGCTAGATCGTTCGAGACCTCAGTGGCTTGGAGCATACGGGGACGGAGGTTGAGCAAGTTCCCACCAGCGACAGCCCCTGGAAGAACCGAATGTTTCCTTGAGGCCCCTGGAAACAACCGGGCTGAACCCAAATCCCACCGCCAAGATCCGGCGCGAGCAGACAGAAGCCCCGCGACTAGCTTCGATCTATTTTTGACGAAATTGTCCCAGCAGTTGAGCCACGTCGGACCTGTACGCAGTAGGCTGTTGCGCGATATGGCGCAAGGTTGCCATCATGGCTATTGGGGACTTGAGGAGGAAGACCTCGGTCCTGTCAGAAGCAAATCGATGGCAAATCAGATGGCTGCTGGCTCGCTTAAAGAGCGGCGCTATTTTAGCGCAGCCAGATTTGAATAATTTTCTTCATTCCTTGGCCAGTTCGTTGGAGTTCGATCCAGCGAGGAATCATTCCACTGTGCTGTCGATTGTGACTAAGACTTGTATTTTGTTGGTCTCGATGTCTATCTAGAAAAGGTCTATTCAGATGGACACTGCGATGAGAAAAACTCACAACTGGTTGGGAAGCTCTCCCCTTCCATTCCACAAATTGAGATGCTCGCCTACATTATTCATGGTCTTGAGAACCTTATCTGCGAGGCTTGCGATTATATCCCCGCCAACCCCGCCAGTGTCTGGCAACTCCATGGGTGCTGACTCTGATGACTCAAAATGGTTGCCAATTACACTGCTAAAAAGAGGCTTCATAGGTGTTATGGCGGACATCTTGATTGATTGAAACGAGTTTTCCCAATAGCTCAGACGCTGCCCCTGAGACACCATTGATTCGACTACCGCAGACGCCATTAACAATCCCTGCTTCAGATATGGTAGCTCCGTTTTTAATATAGCGATGATATTCTTTTGGATGGTCCCAAAATCTAGGTTTCCCTTGACGAGAAGGGTATTGTTGCCAGGTACGATTTCATTGAGGGCCACGATAACCCGCCCTACCTGGATATTGCCAACCAATATCCGAACAGTTATATCACCCTGTTTTGGGGGGTTTTCCTGGATGTCAGTACATGGCCACCAAGCATGAATGATAAGTGGATATTATTGGAAATACCTACCAGAGTTAAGTAAATTGGGGTCGGGTTGGCCATGACTATTCTGGCTACGACATTGTAGCCTTCAGCGTCAGGAAGCTGTAATCCGACGTCTCGTATATCAATTTGGACAAAGTTGCCAAACGCTTTCTCACTGTGAGTAGTTACCCGAGAAGGGGGGGAATAATAATAAGAAGAAGAAGAAGAAAATAAAGAAAATCAGAGCTTGTGAAATAGAAAAATCGAACAATCCCAAGGAGGGCGATCTAACCTGGCAATTCAACAGTCCCATTGATATCTACCCAGATTGCTTGGATCAGAGGAATGCCTATTTTTGCACGTGCTCGACCCACCAACCTGAAAGCTGGCTGATACGCGACTTGTTCGGCCAGCCTTGCAAATTCATTCAGATTTCCCAATTTCAACGTTTCGTTTACAAGCTCGATTCGATCATTCGAGCGAAACGACATTTTGGGGAGATCGACTGTCACAACTGGAATTGTAAAAGACATTCTGTCTTGGATGAAGAAATCTGCATGCATTGGATCGACAGAAATTTTCAACCCATCCGGGACTCGAATATTGGTAGATATCTTAAAGGATATGTTATCGTTGGTTGGATTTGTCAGGGTGACGTTATAGTCAGGAATCGGGGTTCTATACATGAGATATCTTCCAAATGCTGGAACGCCCCAGATGAATCTGTAGAATGAGTCAGTTTGTTCCAAGTACCCACGCTGGGAAGCAAATAATGCAGGAGAACCTCATCTCTGGAAGTACCAGGACCTACAAAACCAGGAGCCCCACGGTCAAGAGCACGACTCCAATAATGCAAGAGCAGACAAAGTGCGAGGCAATGTGAGAGTTTCCAAAACCCCTTTTTCAACAATTAGCTGGGCGTTATGACATCCCTTCGGTTTGTCAACGAAACTCACCTCACTTTCTTCGTCTTCTTTCGCTTTTCGCCTGAAGGCACCTTTTCCACCGTTTCATCCAATCCTTCCTTTTTCCTTTCTTCTCGATATTCTCCTTTTACTTCTTGTTCTTGACTCCGTGCCTCAACGTTGAGCCTGTGGGACCCTTTCTTCAGTTTCCACCCCAGCCATTCGACTCAGATAATTATGCATAGGGACTTACAGGCGATTTTTGAGGGAGCGGATATCGAATTTAGCATCAACAATACGGACGCCTCCCTGCAAGAATGTTCTCAGTCACCTGCCTCCTTCACATGAAATACACACAAGCGAGGAGGTGTTTAAGGACCGAGGAAACGGCCCACGCTCACTTACAAAAAAGACGCTTGTCAGCCATGCAAGCATGCATATAAAGACAAATGCCGTGGAAGTTTTGTAACTGGCGCAGCCGATCTTTCCATCAGGTCGGAAGCCATAACAATCTGATTCGAAGATCTAGAAGATTTGAATACCGCTGAGCCATTCATTGTTCACTTCACTGCTGCGAGGTCATGGAGGAGCCGGAAGACGGGATAACGCACTTGAATTACCAATGCGAAGACAGCGGCCAAACTCCATGCCAGTGTCCAAACCAAATCATACGCGAAGTTTGGGTACGGCGGTACCATCGATCCCACGACGGTCAGAGCCGACAGAACCTCTATGTATATCAGCAACTCCGTACTGGATGCTCTGTTTTGAATGAATGTGGCCCCGAGGCCGAGCACGATGGCTGACGACGATAAGGCGCCGAATCTCGCGATACACGAGGGCGTGGCTAAAACCATGATTGCAGGAGTATCAAATTTGGCACCGTTGATAGATTTAAATGTTAGCCACTGTTTTTGGACATCACTTTAGCTAGAAAGGGACGGTTGTCTACTATTATTCGGATATCTTCCATGTCATCTGACGGCTGTTCAGAGGACCACAGCTCCAAGTGAATGGACATCTACACCACCGACCTCTTGAACGAATTTGGCCCATCCTTTCACCAACAAGACAAAATGCACCAACCATAAATTATCCGGGAAGATACTGAAAAAGCGACAGAGGGTGAGTAGCTTGATTGATTGAAATGTATTGAAATGTCGCTGGCTTTGAGTCCACTATATCCATCGAGCGGAATTAAGTCACGGGGCTGGTGTTCTCAAAAAAGACTTAGAATGTAGAGTAAAGTACACCTTAGCTGATCGAGGGACGTAGTAAAGAAAACAATATAAATAGGTATTCACTAGGCATAAAATGAAAAAAAGTCGTAGTGATAATATAATATAATATGGATTTCTCATTATTTCTCAGCTCCAACGTCTACCCAGGACATAAGTAGCGTGTAGATATATATATATATATATATTTGTATGTGTGTATGTGATATAGGGGGAAGAAAATTTCCGCCAGAATATATCTACAGGGAAATGCAATAAAAATACTATAAAAGCAAATACGTCATCCGTCAAATTCAAATCCGCACCATTATTACAAGTCCTTTTATCCAAAATGATTCGTGATGCAATAGACGAAAACCCAGAACTTCGTAAATCACTGCAATAGGGGCATAATATAGCTCGTCAAAGGGGCCGTGAGAATCTCATGTCTCAATTCATTTTCCCACGACGGCAGCTTTGGCGTTTCCGCCGTCAGCGTGAGGAAGGATAGGAGGGTGTCATTCAGCCGCTCCCAAGACGACCTCCCCAGCCGCTTCGCAATTTTAAGCATTCTCCCAACAAACCAGGGGCGTTCAGAGGGTACAGGTGCAGCGGCGGGCGTTGCAGACTTTCGCAAGGGCAGACCTAAGGGCTCAGAGTCATCACTAACTAAGCCAAAAGAGTCGTCGCATGCGAGTAGGATTTGCAGAAGGGCTTCCACAGAGCTGCTGACATCGACTTCGCTTGTTAGAAGCTTGGTTTGTAGTCCATTCAGGAAGGTTTCGACTTTGTGAGGCAGATTGCGGTAGTCCCACAGGGCAACATTGATTGTCATCAACGCTGCAAGGCGGGATATTATCTGTTTTCTCTCACCAGGGATCGAGTAGCGAATTCCGGGAGGAGAGGAGAGGATTCGAAACAACAGGGTGTCTGGTTGAAAGGCCGAATACCGGTTGGGAATTAGCGGGCTGAAGAGCGCGTGTGAAGATTTTTGGGTGAGAGAGAGCCGCTCGCAGCGGTGGAGGAAGGAAAGGAATTCTTCACATTGAGTATGGATTTCGTCAAGGGGCGTAAACAATTGGTCTCCAATACTTAACGTTTGATCCGAGGGGTTGGGGTTCTGGTTCTGGACGTACGCAGGGATATGTACATAAAAAAATGATGGTCCCTTGGTTTCGTAACCTGCGAGGATATAATCCTGCCAGTTGATTAACATGACCATTCTTTGATTCTGTTGAAATGCGGCTGGTCCTCCCCTGGCACGGATCATCTGCATTGCGGCACGCATATGGATCCAGCTGATTGGTTTGCGCTCTGGACGAGGGTCAAAATCTTCCACTGCAGCGCAGCTGAGGGTTGCAGAGATGGCGGCATCCGAAATATCTGCAGGATGCTTCTCGAAATGTTTTCGCAACATCTCTATTCCACGTCCACGGTGGGTAAGAGCCGCACGCGTTTCTGACAGGCCTTTTACCCACGCTTGCGTATTTGCGGCATGCACGAGGATGGTATTTTGGAAAGTAATATCTCCCTTCATAGCTTCTGGTATGAACACTTGCAAATACCAATTATGAGCATTTGGCGATCTTGTATGGAACCCGTATGAACATGATGGCATAACATTAGCATAGAAATCGAACAGAATCTTCCCTTCTTCGTCAAGCGAAATTGGTAAACTATCAAAGGGATCAGTTCGCGCCGCACTTAGGTGTGTCTGCGGAGCGGGTGACAGCCACCTGGGTGATGAATAGGTAGAGGAGGACCATGTGGACAAACCACACGACTCAGATGATCCGCTATTGCTTTGAAATCCGGGATAATTTGCTTCAGACTGATACTCATCACCCAAGGGCCCATACCAAAAAGGTGGCAGTCCCGAAGGTCCTGGGTCTGCGAATGGTCCCAATGAAGAAGATATTCCCCAGTTATCATAATAATCAGCATCAAGGCCGAGTCCAGTGTCATCAGCGTTCTCCAAGCCTTGATATTCCCCGTATTTACCAGGGTCAGGGTCTAGCGAGTGCGGTAGCCGATGCACCAGCTGAAAATCCCGATCTACCACCAGACGATGCCCTTCACCATCGCTGAGGGTATTCGCAGGTCCAAGACGCTTTTTGCCTTTCCGGTCACTTGGGACTTGTGTTCGTTCTCTGGCACATGTTACATGTCGTTTTCCACGCTGTGTCTTAGTTTCCCCACTGGTGTCTATATCTGCATCGTCTTCAACATCAGTGTCAAGGCGTTGTTGCTGTTGCCATTTTTTCTGACGCGCATATTCTAGCATGACATGACGTTTGACACTAGCCAAACTCTCAGGGTTGTTTGCGGATGCGTCGATAAACTTATACCGCAAGGGCGGATTGGAGGCACGAACTGCTGGAGGAGCTGTAGAACGCAAGGGCTCCTTCGCGGGTTCAGACATGGCAACTGGGATTCCCGAAGGATGTGATGCAGTGAGCTCTCATTAGGTTGAAAGGTTGATTTTCGGAACCAGCTTCGAGGCGGGGAAAGGCTGGATGGGACGCAACAAACAAAGTAGGAGTAAAAAGCAAATATAGAATTGCCCTTCAAGCGGTGCGATGGATCTAGCAATACTGGTCGTTCATGGTAGAGGACAATAACATGATGCCCCTGGATAATATGCTTCTACTGTTCGTCTTCTGAAGCCACGATCAGATTTGTTCGTCTGGTCAATAGCTCGAGGTTACCCCAAAAGGCACATATTGTGGCGGACGTAAAGCTTGCGAAAACAGAATTTTCTGCCACCCCCTGAAAAGTAGTAGCAAAACACCGCAAAAATAACCAAAATATCCACGTATCTCTAGAATCATTCAAATATCATCCAATTCATTCAAATACGCACCTTTATCATCAAATACGCACCTTTATCATCAAATCTGCCAATATGCCCCCCCAGCTCAGCGAATTTACCACCAATGAGATCGTACGCCTTCTAAACGATGGTTATATGCCTGCTCAGATTGCGCGGACCATTGAGTGCCATCTGGCCACTGTATATCGAATCCAACGAAATATTCGCTGCTTTGGAACTGCTAGAAGTCCTCGTTCAACATGGGGTGTAAAGCCAAAGATCACACCGGATATCTTGTCAGGTTTGGAGGATTTTTTTGAGGCATATCCAACTGCATATCGCGATGAGGCTGTCTGCTTTGTGAAGGATGAATTTGATGTTGATATCCACCCTCGATCGATATCTAGATTGTTGAAGAAACTGAATTTGACACGGAAAAAGGTGATTAATTATTGCAATTGTCACTTATAGAACCTGCTAATCCGTCAGTTCTATTTGATATAGGTTGAACCCGTGGCCACTCAACGCGACGAAGAACTTCGAGCTGAATGGCGTATTCAAGTTACTCAGTATCAACCTGATCAACTTATATTTTTAGATGAGAGTGCTGCGAATGAACGTACTGCAGATCGACGATATGGATGGTCAAGCAGAGGATTCCCTTGTCGCATTAGAAGGCCCTGTAAACGATCTCGCAGATGGTCAATCTTACCTGCGATAAGTGTCAATGGATATCTTGATTATGATATATATCAGGGGTCCTATAATACAGAGAGGTTCAATGAGTTTGTACGTGTCCGGATACTGCCCAAATGCCAACGAGGTTATCACTACCTAGTGATGGATAATTGCTCTTCTCATCGTTCACAAGCACTGCGAGATCTCTGCAGAGAAGCTGGCATTGGACTTTTATTCTTACCCCCATATTCTCCTGATTATAATCCTATAGAGGAGTCATTTCACGCGTTGAAAGAATGGATTAGAAGATACAGATGTCAGTTAGAGAATCAGTTTGATGGAGATTTTGAAGCCTTCTTGCATCATGCAGTTGAGAACTTCATGGGAGAAGAAGATGCAAGAGGATATTTCAGATCTGCTCATATAGGATAGTATTGTAAAATCTAGAAAGATTCAGATTGCAATTCAATTATGATGATATATAATATCTAAGTTTCAAATTCAGAAGCAGAAGCAGTATGAGGTCTGCTGCCATCACTACAAACAGCAGATAAAGACAATTTAATCTCCTTCAACCGTGACTGCCAGATAGGACTCTTTAACCCATCTCTTATTATCGAGAATATACCCATTCCAATATTCAACTGAACCACCTGCTCATTTGTCATTGTCCGTATATGATCCAGTTCAAATCCTTCATTCTGAATAATGCTCTTTGCAGTTAAAAGAGCTTCTGCTCTTCGAGGTCTCTCTGTCATCAACCAGTTGAAGAACTCATCAATAAACAGATCCGCGTGTTCACCAAACTGAGGGATTGGACTACTTCGAATAGGAGGCAGGTTTGGATTCGACGGCAGATTTGGATTCGACGGCAGGTTTGGATTCGACGGCAGATTTGGATTCGACGGCAGATTTGGATTCGACGGCAGGTTTGGATTCGACGGCAGGTTTGGATTCGATGGCAAGTTTGAATTCAGTCCTCCCATGCCTCCCATTCCTTCCATCATATATTTCATCACCATCACATTGATTATCTCACTTGGAGACACAATATTAGATGAAGAAGGAGTTGAGGGAGGGAAGATAACTGCTGGCATCTGAGGTGTCTGTATAGAAGGGTTAGAAGCAGAGATAGGTTCGCTTTTTCGTTCCTTCTTCTCCTTTCTATCCATTAATCTTTTTGTCATCTTTCTTGACGGATTTTTAACTGTTGCATGTCCACGTTCAACATCATCTATCCAACTGGCAATCTCACTACTCAGGAGTTGAATATGAGTATCATCAAAAGCCATCCAACAAGTGCCCTGCTCAAAGTTATGACAATTCATCTTTTGACAACGCCAGTGAGCAGTTATCTCACGCCCAATCCGCAAAGAATCGCGCTCATTTGACCGTCGATTTCGAGCCTCCTTCAGCTGCTGGCTAGTGGCCGTGGATCTTGTACGCGTAGGCGGCAGCTTTTCGTCATCGGATATTTCATGAATTCGAGGGGATTTGGCAGGACGATAGAGAGGGGATTTGGCAGGTGGTGAGATTACTTCTTCTTTGACATCTAATGCTCTTTTTGATGCCAATGTCTGGGTTGTTAATTGTGAATCCGACACTCCAATGAAAGCTGCAGGACCGCGTATTACAGAGGTGTTTGAGGATAGAGTTGAGATATCAAGAAGATTAAAAGAGGTGGTAATCTCGATGCTAAATCCGCTCATCTTCTCCTTATATAACTCCTTCAAAAGAGTGATAATCTCTCTCCAATCTGTCTCCTTCTCAAGGGTGATTTTGATTGAAGATCCACGTTTGTTTGATGAGATGACTGCTATACAATTTGCAACTTCTATCTCCTTGCAGTTCTGCTTCATAACATACTCTTCAGCTATTCTTTTTGCAGTATATTGAATACGATAGAAGCTGACAGTCATATCATTTGTTGTGACATTCCGTAACTTGATCTTTATAGGCTCCTTTATCCCATTGATAATCACCCGTTCATACAGCCTGAATGAGATCTCGGGCTCAGGGGTAGGTGTTCGCAGAAATCGAGGATCTTCTGACTGTGTCTCCTCCTCCTCCTCCTCCTCCTCCTCCTTCTCATCATCAGTTGGATTCTTGTCATTATCCGGAACATCCGGAACAGGCGGTTTGGGCAGACGAAGGCGCAGGGTAGTTGGAGTCCTTTTACGAGCTTGCGAGGCAGTAGAACGGTGGGTGTTGCGGGGCATATTGGCAGATTTGATGATAAAGGTGCGTATTTGATGATAAAGGTGCGTATTTGAATGAATTGGATGATATTTGAATGATTCTAGAGATACGTGGATATTTTGGTTATTTTTGCGGTGTTTTGCTACTACTTTTCAGGGGGTGGCAGAAAATTCTGTTTTCGCAAGCTTTACGTCCGCCACAATACTTGATAAGACCCCTGCTAGCCAGCTACACTGAGGTGCCTTGAAACCTTCAATTCTGAATTTCTACTTTGACTGGTCTGGCGGATGGGGGATCTGCGGCGGCCAGTGGGCGCAGGCGCAGTGAGAGAACGGCGCATCTCGCCATGCAGAAAGTGTTGGTGATTCTGCCAACCTCATGGGCACTTGGACTTCATCATGTATTTCCCACTCGGCACTGTCTTCTTTTGCCTCCCGCCGTGTTCGTGTGGCGTCTGAGTACGCAGTAGTTTGGAGTCGTTGTTCGAAAAACCGCGCCGGACCTCGCCAAGGTTCATGATTAAAGTTAAGCGACGGTCGTGATTTTCAGAGCTCTGAGACCAACCTCCGCAACCCATCCCCATCCCCATCCTGCTCGCCGAACACAGCTCCAGACACTCTGCCAGTTTCTCCCCAGTTCAAGCTCATTTTTCGTCCGTCTCCCAGTGGGCAAGTTGGCCCCCTCGTCGCGACGCATTACTGCTAGCTGGCGGCGGCGGTTACTCACTTGGCGAACCCAAGCAAGCTTGTATGCCTCCTGCAGCCTCTGTACGAGCAATCTGAATCCACGGTCCTCCGGCAAACCAACTCTCAGCGTACAATCCACACGGACTTTCTCAGCGTACAACGCCGCTCAGGGTCTCTGAATCCAGGATTACCAATCTTTTTAGTCAAGGCGTCTTCGGCATTCGATTGACACCGGAACTTAGGCGCGTTTTAGAGCTGCTTGTTGCGTCGAACCTTCCTCGAACCACCAACCTTCCAGAGATGCACGCGGCATAACATTAGGCCTTACACGCCCTAGAAAAGCATCCACCATGTTCCACGTTGGCTTCCTTTACAAGATAAACGAATTCCGTTAGGCAAACCTGAACCCTCCCCATAATCCTACTTTCTTTCCTCAATAAATTTCTCAGTCGCGTCCATCTCGTGCGCAGAGAGGACTCAGCTTGCAATATCAGCCTCCTATATTAGGGACGCTGGTGACATGGGACTCCTCCCAAGTGAGGCTGCAACCATGCTTACAGACCTGGATGTTAATCCTTATGAGACGAATGCAGAAAAGTTACCCCCATCCGACCGGTTTCTAGCTCGACATCCTCACTATGGCCGCTACCGTCCTAGCTCTAACGATTTCGAACCGGACCCAATTCACTGCAACTCTAATGACGATGAGTCACTTCGCTACTGGGAAGCAGTTCTAGCCAGGTGTGATGAGAAAACGCGTATCAACACTCTAGCAGCTGGTAAGAGAGACACTTTTGCATTGGGGAGCGTGATAGTGAAAAGTGACCACAATTCTACGGAGCCAACTGGGGACTATAGCGTCGCCGATGAAAACGAAATTTATGCTATTAAGATAGCAGAGAAGATTCTTCCAGATATACAGTTACCAGAGATATATCTTAGAACTAAACTTAATGGTCGCGATGTGCTTGTTCAGTCCCGCATCCCTGGGGTTTCGTTGGAAGTTGCGTGGCCCTACCTCACCAGAAAGCAAAAGGAAAACTTCAAGAAGCAAGCACGAAATATAATACAACGAATTAATAGCGTCAATGATGGTCGTAGCAGTCCGTCTTACGTTGTCAAGGGAAACAGGCCCAAGGAGGAACACCGGCTGCAACAGGCTGAATACGACATCCTTTTCGGTCCTGCCTCCGATTCGAATCAGAACCTATCTTTCACTAATAATAATATGGTTCCTGCCAATATCATTGTAGATAAAGATACGATCGTCGGGATTATTGGGTGGTATAGCGCCGGTTACTTCGGTTGGGATCGAGCCAAAAATATTCATCATAAAATCCGATGCCTTGACTCTGCCGATGTCTCCTCTGACGGTGGTGTATCGATACCAGATGCGTTTTGGCGTGACCTTTACGATATTTCAGTCGACCATTCCGCCTCAAGAAACCTCGACTTGAAATCCGAGATCAAAATTGAGCCTCCCAGTCTGAGCCTAGAATCTATCCCTAACGGTTCAGCAGCTGATATCCCGGTGCTAACGAAGGAGCCATGGACACCCAGGAAAATAACAGACCTTAAATGTGAATCTATGTCCCGTGCTTCCTCCACAGAACGTTCGTCCCCAGTGACATCCACCAAACCCCTGGACTCTAGCCCGGGTCCGAGTACGAAGAAAAGAGCTGTGTCATCTACGAAAAAAGGAAATCCTACAAGAAAGCCTGCCGTTAAAAAGCGCAAACTGAATGATACCGAAAGCGTTGATGGTGCTGCTTCGCCACTTCGACGATCAGCAACACCGATATCCTCGCGTGCAAGCAAGGCTCCTGTAAAAAGTCGAAAGCAGAGTTCGTTGTCCGTTGCCGGCTCTCCAGTGCCGGAAACTAAAAAGGCGATAAAAGCTCCCGAATCCCAGCAAGATGTGGATGGGGATGACGTTTACGAGGATGAAGATTCAACGGAGCTGTTTTGTATTTGTCGTAAACCTGACAATCACACTTGGATGATTGGGTGTGATGGCGGATGCGAGGATTGGTTTCATGGGAAATGTGTCAAGATCAATCAATCAGATGCCGATCTGATTGATAAATATATTTGTGAGTACTTCAACAGGGCTTGTCCCTTACTTGGTTGTGAAGTCGGCTTTGTTCAATTTGTAACGCACTGGCTGACATCCACAGGCCCTGCATGTGAAGCAAAAAAAGGAATCCATACGACTTGGAAACGAATGTGTCGTCTCCCAGGTTGCAGACGACCAGCCAGAATTTCAGGGGGGATGGTTCCCAGCAAATACTGTAGTGACGAACACGGTCGAGAGTTTATGCGCCAAAAAGCTTCTCTCTCAAAACAAGGATCAGCGGCTGGGGCTTCGCCTGCTGCAAACACGTCAGCTACAGACAGTCGTTCGCGAGGATCATCAGTAGTAGTTGGAAAACGCCGCCAAAAGGGAGTTCATCGTGATGATACAGAACCAGATGGAGTTCAGCCGGACCCTGGTGTATCTAATCCACGTGATGAGGATGAGGAGGATGAGGAGGACGTTGAGGACGAAGCTGAGACGGAAAATGGGCAAACTGAAGACCTTGGTAGTAGAGGCGGGATCCTTTCTAAGAATGACCTCAAATCTGTGGTCACAGGGGTGGCATCTGCTCAAGAGTTTCGTGAACTGGGCGACAACATCCTACCTCCTTCCGTGACCGAAAAACTAACACCATCCTCTAGCATTCCCTTGGAAGACTCATCATCTAAATTCAGAACCAACACAGTGTCTCAGGATGTTGATCAAATTGACTTTGATCTCGATGCTCATCAGATCCAATTCACCGCCAATGAACGCCAACATATCGACAATCTCCGGCAAAAACGAAGAGAGCTCCGCGGCCAGCTCGAAATGCTCCAAGATCGGGACACCTTCCTTACTCTGATTCGCCAACGTGCAAAAACAATCCTTGAGCACATTCGCCAGGCGGACCCAAAAACCAGCGCATCCTCATGGAAGGATATCTGCGGGTATGACCGTCGCCTGGCATGGTCTGATGACGAGTTCGACGAGTGGAGATTGTCAGAAGAAGGAAAGGAAGCCCTTCACTCTGGGGCCCTCAAAGCTGCTGATCCGGAACCTGATGGTTTTGGGGACATTGAGATGCAAGATGCGGATAGGGACGATATGACTGTTGATAGGATCGCTCGCGGAGTTTGTATCAAGAAACGCTGTGAGAGACATAGGCAGTGGGTTAAAGTGCAGCAGCAAGATATTCAACACGAGGAGAGAGTTGCTAGGGAGGAGCTGGAGAAATGTGAGAAGGATACGAAGGATGTTATTGGCCGGATTGTCTTGCGGGCATATGGAGAATGAGGATGGCAGCAATCCCAAAATTTCTCCAGTTACGTCGGCGGCTACCACCGGCAATAAAAATGGAGATCAGAATATTACGGTTAAGGGATAAGGTTGAACTTCATGTCTCTATGAATCAAATTATATTTGTTTCTTAGAGGAAATGAAGCGAAACTCTTAGGTTCTGTTTGTTTATGATTTTCTCCGAAGACATTAACGATGCCACGAGCTGATGATTTCGGTTGTTTATATTCATATCCCATGTGGCGAAGGTAGTCTAGTCTGGTTTTCTTTCTAGAGAGCCAATACTGTCCTTGCTAATTACAAGTTACTTCGAATGTTGGTGAAGGCGAATATTCTAATATAAAATATCCCATAGATACTTACTTACTCCACTGTGCTTAGCCTACTCAAAATAGGGTGCTAAGCCGCCATATGGTAACAGGCCATGACTACCGTGAATCATTTATTACTATCCAAGAGAAAATTTTGAGTTTGATAAGAATTGGGTTGAAATCATGCCTTCAAAGCAGCTGCAATAGGATACAAGCAAAGCGGTACTGAATTAATAGAGAATTTTACAACTCAAGGGGAACACATGCCTCGCATGGGAAAAAAAACAAAAATTTAAAAAAGAAAAAAAAGATTTGTACAAAATAGAGCAATGGGAAACAACAACATAGCCAAATTACCACCAGAAATCGCCATCACCAGGGCTTGTCAGCACCAGTGGCCATATATCGGTCGTCACTCTTTTGGACGCGCTGAGTGATGTCTCTGGCAGCTGCCCTGCTATCTTCATGATCATAATATCTCGTTATCGCGAAGCCGTATATAATGCCATCAACATGCGCTTTGTCCAACAGCTGTCCCACACGCTCGCCGTCACCAACCCGGCTCGTCCAGCCAAACACTCTCTTAACGTCACCCTTGTCCCGAGCTTTCGCACCGTTTCTCAACCCAGCGCAGGTATTGTATCCCTTCTCTTTGCAATTTCCAAACCCAGTCTCAAGTTGAGTGTACCCATAATCCATAACCCTCTGCTGAGGTTTTACTCCCCGCCCTTTCTTCTTATAGACATTCAAGACATTTTCCACCTCGCCGCTCAGGCATACTGCCTCGCCAGCCTTCAGGTTTCCTTGAATATAGTTGAAACCAGCAGAATCCGTCGCGCCTGCCCCAAAGAATCCGTAGAGAATGCGCACACCGGCGGGATTCAGGATCTTCTGCGCCAATTCCTGCAATGAATTCATGGAGCATTTGTCCTTGGGCTTGCATTTGCTGGGATCCAAAACGTCCTTGTTGCAGGTTGCGCCGGAGCACATGTCGGGCGTTTTGAGGTCCAGCCAGACGAATGCGATGTTCTTACTCTCCTTGGCGACAGCTTTGAACATGTCCTCCAAGGAGTCGCCCCATGACCGGCCTCTTATGTCGTGGTCGGCCCACCACCCCTCTTTGTAAGCCGCAATGTCAATCTCGACTGAATTGGCGCCGTTCTTAATGGCATCTTTGAGGCCCTTTCTGTCCAGGACCATATGAGCGATGGCGTATGTTGGTCTTTTATTAGCTTGCTTGCTAACTCCAGCCTTGGTTGGACAAGCGAAGGTGAGGGGGACTGCTATGAGGATGCAGAGAATTGCGCATATTGTTCGCAACAGGGGCGTCATTCTGGCTCAAGCAAGTTCACAATTTCTATAGGGAAAATAAGTGCGTTTCAACCTTGAGGAGGAAACCGCGTAGGTGGTGTTGTTTCCTCGGGTATTCAACCGTCTGGGGCGAAGAGGGTCTTTATAAGATTTCATATTGAGGAGAACAGTCAATTTATGGGGCGGCAAAACAGGAGAAAATACGATAGTGCCTGCAAATCCCTGCTCATCAATCATCATCTTCTCAAAATACCTAATCGTCATTCTTCCAACCTTGTTTATGCGGAGACATAGGCGGAACCTATCAAGATCACCGAGTCGTCAATCCAAGGCGTGGCGTGGTCAATTCGAAACTTGTTGAAGTAGCTGCGAGCTGAAGCAAATGACAGATCGTCCCCATGCGACTGCTCACTCTGCGGATGCTTACTGTTTCAAAAGAGGATCTAGTCCCAATCAGCAGCTTCGTTTGGTTGCCGATCTCTATTTATATCTCAATGCTGTACTAGTCGGCGCCTTATTTAATATTGCAGGGATGGCCCTCTATTAAATCGCTCTATATCAAATGCTTCGCGATGCGTATCTTTCCGAGCCTATCATTCCAAACGCGAAAGGCGACGGGTGAAGTTTGAAAATAAGCGATTGAGTTGTGTTGATCATCACACATAAAGTTTTACCTTATTTTGACTCAAAATTCATAGTCCACACAATATAATCTATCAAAAGAAAACATGGTGGAGGTTGGTTCATTTTAAGTATCCAGCGGGCGCAGCACTGCTTAAATAGGAGGGGTCACGTGGCATTCTAGTGAGCGATAACTAGGGGATGCCAACAAAACAAAAAATAATCGTCGGATAATTAGAATTCAAAGTGAGAAATTCTCTCATTATAATCCTTCATCAGTCAATATTTTTGCAGGTCAGTTTCTGTCATGGCCGGCTGGGTTATTCGTTGGAGAACGAAATGACAGGACCTAGCCAAAGCCGTGTCGTATCCGGAACAAGCCTTCACTAGTAGTTATAAGAAGTGCCTACTATGTAGTAAGGTGGATAGGCACTTAAATCTGAGGATCACTTCAAGAGACCTGAGACCCCGATTTCCTTATCCTGGTCAAGTCTATGGTTAATGTTAGGGTTATTTTGGCCGAATGCAGTTGGACAATAGTCAGTAGGGCAGTATTGTCATGTCATAAGATTAGCAAGAGGTTCAAAAGAGGATGTTTGTTGATATTGGCGATGGGGACCAAGTTGTGAGTGCACTATGTCGTAGAGAGTACTCTCTGGTTAGCATGGGCGCTTCTAATTTCTCACCGGTTTTCCCACACAAATCAACCCTGCATTCTATGATGTCCACCCCTGAGATCTTTTCGGCAAATTAGACACTTCGGACCTCGGCAAGCTGGAATGTTATGAACCGATTCCTTCATCATTCGCAACACTACAAAGGGACCGTGTGAACATTATCCATCTTCCATGGCATGTTGAGACAAATACTGCGTGATTCTTGAAAAGGAAGCACTCTTAACACTCAGGACAGATTCACTGGGTCTTGTTGCGTATCATCCTTTTGGTGCAATAGAACTTGAATAACAAATGGATGGAATTTTTCCCGTATATAAGGTTCTAATTATTGTTGTTTCCTAGCGCAGGTCTCTGAAACCGTGCTGGAAATGTTTCGGGGACCATCTCAGGAACAATTTGCTAAATATGGTCATACTCAGCTTAGCTCTAAACGGCGGCCATTGATATAGCAGATGATATACCATGACGTAGAATGGGCCAAAGAGAAGAATAATAAGGGAGCAAAGTTTGGCAGAAAGTGGGCTAATAGTGTATTCATCTATGAAGAACAAAGCAATAGATCAGAGATGTGCCAGTCACTGGTCCACACTAAGAAGAACAGACTGAATTTGACAAAGCTGGAGGATTCCATCAAGGTCAAGGTGCTTCTTCTTTCATTTCTCTGAAACATTGGTATCATCATTAACATCACAAAGCTGGAGCATATATGCATCTAGGCAATTTGGATGAAGATATTCAAGTTGGAATATGGCAAGCCCTCGGTGCTGTGTGTGAGATTTAAGAGATCACAGACATAAGTACGTCTATTTAAGAGACAAGAAACAAAGAATGATTAATCCCTCTGCCGATGAAATGGTAGTAGATGTGGGCTAGAGTGCAGGGATAATAAAAAGGCCATGGCTTAACCAACCTGGTGGTACTGGGCTCTGTACGAACTGCGCTGTTGTGTTTGCCTGAGCAATTCTGGGGCAAGGCCCTTGAGGGCTAGCTGTCATAGCCTCTGACTGCATGGAGCCTGAGAAAAAAAAAATACGAAGAACAACAACAACTACTATTATGTGCTTCCAAAATCCAAGTAACTGCAAGGGTATCATCTTTGCCATTTCACTCGTTGGATGCGCTTTTGTTGCTGTATATGGACATGGTGTCTGCGTATCTGAGAGATAGTGTCCACTCATCGCTCCAGCAGATTATAAGAGGCACGTGATATATAAGCCCTAACCCATCTCTGATCGATATCAACAACCACCTCCTCATAAATCTGCAAGAGTATGAAGTACATAGTAGAAAGTTCTTGACCCATTCCTGAAATTGGAATAAAAAGGCCACTCAATCGGCAAAATTCTACAAAGTACATTTTGTCGCAGATCTTTACAGCGTAGCCCGGACGGAGGGTTAACTACTGCAAAGTGAAAGTCCAAGCTTGACCGTTATTCTCCTATTTGAAAATGATCCTAGCTACTCTGCTTGGCTCCCCCAAACCCAGTGCGTAGGGACACCAAATATCTGAGTAGCCATTTTGCTGGTTGCGGGTTTGCGCAATACTTAATAACAGGATTTTAACCATCGATTTTTTCATGAAAGAGATTACGCTACTAAACCCTTGCTTTTCTTGGTGGGAGAGGGGGCATCACATTATAAATTAACAATCACCGCCCTGATTTCCTGAGCAAAATGGAGGAATTCCCCCACATATATGGCTATAATCTTTTTCTTATTCGGAACCTCAAAGCAGAAACCTTGTCGAGTCGACATGGTGATAACAGCGACTTTGAAATTCAACAAAATCACGTTATTATTGTAATCCCCGATCGTCAAAAATCACACCACCGTCCAACTTCAGTCCCGACCCTATGCTTCGCCACTTCAATGATCATATTTTTCTGCATTTGGGAAACTAAAAGATGCACGTCACAGCCTTGGTCGAGCGACCGCGTCAAGACAGAGAAGTAGGAAAGGGTTGGTGACGCTTTCGAGAGCCTCGAGATGTTGGAAAATATGGAACATACGGGAGGCTCTAGGCAATATTGTTGTCGTTGCAGCTGACCAGCACCTGTATCATCTGCTGGAGTGAGAGCGGCCTCCTGAGCTGAGGCCGATTGAGGAGGGTGCTGTAAAGCGATAGAATTAACAATGATAACGCAGAGAAACGAAGCGTACGTTCGTGATAATACAGTGAGTGTCCGTAATAATGGGACAAGGCGGGCATGGCCTGCCACGGGGTTGGAGGTGCGAATGGTCTCTTCGAGTGATTGATCTATGCCCTCGATAAGGAGGAGGGCGGGAGCGGAGTTGTACCCTTTTCCTTTGTTTCCAGGTTGGTTTTGCCGTTGCTGGAGCTCGAATAGTATATTCGATATCTGAGATACAGCTTCAAGCAGTTCGTCAAAATCATATACACGACGTGTTTGGATATTATCTAGGATAGTTTCGAGGTCTTCTGGTGAGCGGTCTGGCGATCGTTGCTGGAGAGAAAAAAACAATGCTTGACGCGACAAGGGTCGTGAGTCAAAATACTGTATCACAAATGCCCTTGGGAAGTCTTTGTCGACGGGGTATTTGCAGAGAAGAGTGGTTAGGATATGTTGCGAAAACTAACTGGCTGTCAGCATCTCCCATATACATAACATGTTTTTCACTTTTTTTACAAGGCGATAGACAGCCATTAAAAAAACAAAAAGGGAGAAAATGTCAGAAGGAAATGGGCACCAACTTCATCAACCCAATATCGGATATCATCTCCTGTTCCTTCTCGCGAGCCGTTCGCATTGGTGGGCTGGAGCCCAGATATCCCAATGACACTACCACAGCTCAGAACAGACCTGCCCGGCATGAGTGAAACCCCTTCTTCTATGTCTCTGGTCAAGTCCCATGGATCACTCTCCACCATTCCACGTCGCTCGCGAACTGAATTATCATTGCTGTTCTTTTGTAATGACGAGTCTAACAGGGTAGAGGCGAGGATTGGTGGAGCTGCCGCGGACAAGCCAGTCATTACTGTGTACCTGTGTATACTAATATGTCGCACTCTCCCGCCTTTGGAACTTAGGCTCTCGCAAAGATAGAATAATTCAAGCAGAGATCAGGTTGAGCTAATCTTTCGTTGATCGAACCTTTGTTGTTGCGCTTAACTCGATGTTTAGTACACACAAATTTGGGTCACATTAACCTGTAACTTTTCCTGACGGCCGTCACGCCTCAGTTCGCCTGTCGTCGTGAGCAATCTTTTGAATATAAGTACTTATTCCTCCAACACCCATATACCTTGGATCTAAGCATTCTAATAACCTTGCTTGAATATGTTCCTCGTCATTGATTTGTTGTTTCTGCATTCCCCCCTTTTTTAGGTCAAAACCCCGCAGTCCCCCACTCCTACGCGCTTCTTAAGCAATTGGATTACCGAGAAAGTTTTGTCCAGGAAATCTTCCAGCAAGCATATTATGCGATGATACTTTATTACGTTTATCTTCACTGAACTTTCAATAAAACCCTTATCTGGCAATTGTTTTCTATTTATAGCCAGTTCGATCACAATATATAATCATAGCAGTTGAGCTGTATACATCAAAATCAGGAGGTATATCGTGACCAAAACCTCCCCATATTAAACAGTATGAGTCCCACGGCAGTTTCAGAAATCACGCTTCCTGTGAACAACCCGGTTGCAAAGTCCAAGGGAGATCAGCAGCAGCAAGAGCAAAAGCCACATGTCTACGGAGGGGAAGGCTTAACAGCCCTTCAAGCCCTGTCTCATGGCGGAATTGCCATTCCCGGTATGTATATATATATAAAACTACTAGTATTACTTATCCTTCGACTATCAAAAATGAACCACTTCCCTTTCCCAACCTACATATCCCTATATATCAAGCACAAACCTAACCAAAACGCTCCCCAGGAATCCCCAGCTTCACCTCTCAGGAGCTAAAACGCCATTGGCAACTCGAGCACATGGCAGGGGCCTTCCGCATCTGGGCCCGTCATGGCTACACAGAGGGGATGTCCGGCCACATCAGTGTCCGGGACCCCGAACACACCAACGCTTTCTGGACAAACCCTCTAGCCGTGCACTTTGGCATGCTAAAAGCCAGCGACATGATCCTCGTGGATCTTAGCGGGAACGTCATCGGCGGTAACCGCTCGCGGCCCGCCAACGCAGCCGGCTTCCTCATTCATGCTGCCGTGCATAAGGCACGCGAGGACGTTAATGCCGTCTGCCATGCACATACCATCTATGGGAAGGCGTGGTCATCGTTTGCACGCCCGCTGGAGATGCTGAATCAGGACGCGTGCAAATTCTTCCGTGCACATAGCGTGTATGAGTCTTATGGAGGGGTGGTGTTGGCCGCGGAGGAAGGGGACTTAATTGCCAAGGCTTTGGGGAATAGCAAGGGGTGTATTTTGATGAACCATGGGTTGCTGACGGTCGGGGGAACGGTGGACGAGGCGGCATATTTGTTTGGGCTGATGGAAAGGAGTTGTCAGATTCAGTTGTTGGCCGAGTCAGCCAGTGCGAATGGGTGTAAGAAAATACTGATTTCGGATGAGGAAGCGGCGTATAATTTCAAGATGGAGAGTGATCCGGAGTCTCTGTATTGTGAGTTTCAACCTGATTATGAGTATGAGGATATGTTATGCAGTGGGGCATTTAAGAATTAATAGTGGTCGTATAGAACCAGCCATTTAATAGGAGATATGAAAATATTAAAGAATAAATTATTATCTATTCCATCCCATCTATATAATTCTATAAAAACTATTGGCAAACAGTAAGCCCAGCAAAGTGAGGGGGTTGGCAACAGAAGAAAATCAACCCTAACAAGGGTACATTTCCTAATAAAACTGACCAACTATCAGTAATATTATATACGCAAATATGGTAAATATTTCGTACAATTATAAAAAAAGGTATGTTGATAGAAACCGCAGGTGCAAGGCAACAGGTAAAAAAGGCTAGGGAAAGGAAAAAAAAAGAAGGTGAAACAATTGGCAAAAAGCATGTAACAGGAAAGGAAATATAGTTTTACAAGAATTGGAGGTGGACTACGCCATTTTCGGTTGGTAGAGATAGGGAAAAACAAATGAAATGAGAATAAAGGAAAGACTTCCATGAAGGAGTAGGTAAACCTCATAATAGCGAAAGGGGTGGAAATATGCATGATAACTAGCCTGTAGGAAATAAAACGAAAAAGGTTTTGGAAAAAATGGGAGAAATATATGGGATGGGCGGGAATGAAGAGGCGCAAAATAAAGCGCATAACATAGATGCTAAGAAAGGCAAGAGCAGGTATTAGAAGAGAAGCCGTCTAGGTGGCGAACAAGGGCGAGCGAAGTCTAGTAAGGAGGCCGTGCTATGCTCCCTACCCTACCAAGACTGCGAACTCCAGACATATCCCGATTCTTTTTGCCAGGGTAGTAACCAGTGTCATTGAGAGAATATGGAGGTTCGTTGGATCGGTTAGAATGAGAGGAGTATGGTGGATGGGATTGAGATGGCAAACCCTCAACAATGTTGCCCCCGCCACCATTCACCTCCCCACTTTCCGGGCCGGCTATTAGACCTTCAAGCAATTTTTCCACATCAACGCGGCGACCCATGCTAATAGAACCGGGTCCACGGGAAGAGGATGCTCTGTGGTCACCAGCGGAAACAATGCGAACCGAATTATCAGCATACCGAGAGAGATTGGGAACGCTGGGAGTGTTCAATTGCTTTGAAGTTCGCGACTTCTGTCTGGTCAACGATCTGCTCTGCCGCGGCATTGTGCTCACAGTATGTTGATCTTTTGTAACTGGTCTGGCGCGGGACTGAGACGGGGCTGTTGAAGGACGATCAACACCAGTTGGTGGGTATGACGGCGATATATGAGGGGAATCATTTGGGAATCCGCCTGGTATTGTGAGGGCTGCAGGCAAGGGAGGGACTGGTGGAATGTCATTGGAAATCTCCCGCATTAACTGTCCAAGGCCATTCTTCTCTTCGCTATTTAAGGCATTGGTGTGGTTAGACACGGACGCCTTTGGGGTTTCCGAACCCTCTCGCTGGGGCCTATTGGATGGAGCTGCAGCACCGGCAGATGTAGTTCCTATATCGGAGGTTGAAAATGTATCGCTAAGAATGCTTTCTGCGCTGGATGCACCACTTTCAACCCCCTGAGATAAGTCCTCGCGACCGCGAAGAGGACTCGAGTGGCGGACATTGCTGCCGTTTACAACAGACAAAACCCGACGAAGCTCGTTGACTCTTACCGTTGAATCCCGACTTGAACTCGCAACGGATGTGTGCGAACCTGCCGGAACACTCTGGCGCCGAAGCTTTTGCAGACTATTCGAACCGCCTGTAATTCCAGGAGGGCCGGAAAGCCGTGCATCGGGATTTCGTTGGGGTGGGTTAGCTGAGATATTGTCCTCTTTCGGGGGAGACGCATTCCCATTCTTATGTCCATTTGTTGCAAAATAATTACGTGTCGCCGAAGTACCGGTTCTCGAACCACTAATCGATGACGACTGCGCTTTTTCGGTGGCTATGGCGGCCAGGCATTCCTCCTTCGACCATGGCGCTAGCATGCGTTCCTTCACAATCGTTGGAAGTCGTTCTTCCGGCGGAACTCTCCCTGGCGCAGCGCTTCCCTGCCCAAGAATTGGCGTGGAAAAAGCACGGCCAGGAGAACTGGCAGGGCTGATTGTTGGTGATTTAACAACGGTATTGTAGTTATTTTCAATTTGATCAACAAGCTGAGACAGACCAGTGAACGGGTAGTACATACTCCTGTCGGGTTGTAGTTGTACATTATGGTTGGGGCTGGGTCCGTTAGAGGGTATAATGTGATTTAATTGTCGTGGCGGGAGTTGGATATTTTCAAGCCAACAACCTCTCTGCTTCCGTCTGGAAATTTCTCTAAGGATATTATCACCAACTTTTGTAGTTTCGAGAGCGAATTTTTCAACTAACGCCCATAGATACCCGTGAACCAAACTTAAAACGTTGATTCTAGCAGCGGCAGAAATTGACTCATCGTTGGATAAAAAGTCAGCTTGCAGCCTCAGTATCATAGGAAGTCCATATTTGGCTGCATTGACCCCCATTTTCTCCACCAGGTTAGCCAGTAACAGGTGCAAAAGCATAATATCGGAGTCCACTGCAGCATATTCTGTTGCAATATCGTAAACTGTCAGGTGGAGGAGTTGAAGAAAGTTGGACGTAGCTATGGCGGCATCCTTATCCCGCTGAGATACTGTGGAGATGATTTTCCTGGTCAATTTGTCGGATGCATCAGAAACCTCACGCCTAGCACCAATTTTAGGCTCTCGTTTGGTTTCAAATGTCGCCCTCAGGTCATCTTTTGTAGTTTCTAGTTGCAACCAAGAAAGAAATGCATCAACGTAAGTGTGTGAAACCTCACGATCTGGATCTCGCAGAAGCCATTGGGTACCTTCCCATACCCAAATGTTGACTCTGCTTCGCGAATCCGCTCCTGCTGCAGTCATGGACTTGCGTAGATTGGCCATCAGTATATTTTTGATGCATTTTAAAGCTACAATTCTAGCAGCCGGGAAGGAAAAGAAGGTGTTCCCCGTTACATCTTCCGAGCTGTCAATGACATTAGTTTGATCGCCTTCAGCCTCATGGTTCGAAAGTTCCGATGTTGGAGACGGCTTTAGTCGCGAAATAATAGTACGAATCATGTCAGAAACCTGATCAGTGTAATAAATGTGTGTAGCCAAAGATCCGATACACTTTTGCAGGAGCTCCACCAACTCCTGACGCGCGTCCCAAGGGATGACAGTACCTGTGCCCTCTGCTAGTTGCACATCATTACCGTTAGGCTCCACGATCGGCTTTTCACTAGCTTCTCCGAGTTCTGGAAGGCTATCGACATTCCCAGACGGTGCGCCGTGGTGTACCATTTTCGCAGATCGGCCCCCCAGCTGCAAGAGAAGAAGCAGGCGTTGAAGTAAACTAATAAGGACGTCAATTACGCTCAGTCCAATAAGATTGTTTGGAGAGCTGAGTAACCAGTCCATCATCGATGCTAGGATCAACTGCGATTCGAGTTTATCGTCAACCATGGGGGTATTGACAAGCTGTTCCAAGGTTGTAATGAGAATGATGAAGCGGTCCTGTACTGGTGACCACTTTGCGATGACTTCCATCAAATTTGTGGCCCAGCTGTCACCAGCACCAACAGAATCGGGGTGCTGCTGCAGAGAGCAGTGGCGCGGAGGCCTCTTGCTCACAATAAACTGCAGGATCAGGGAAATTGCATGGCGAATTTGGCCCCGATTACTACCAGCGGCGAAAATCTTCTCCAAGCAGCGCAGTGCCAAAACGCGGACTTCAATTTCTGCCAAATTGTCTGCATCTGCTGTAGACGCTGCAGCGGTAGTGGGGTCCGCATCCGTTGTATCGACGGTCCGGACTGTCGTGATGCTCGTTCTTCGTCGTCGCGCATGCTCCCGTTCCTGCTTTTCTGAAGACAAAACCTTTGCCTGCAACGGAAGCAAGTTCTCGGTAGAATAAAGATTACTCAGAATCACCGGCATCAGAATTTCCAATTGCTTTGTCCCGTCCAAGGACAGAGCTTCAGAGCTGACAATACTTTTGATAGCCCGCAAACCAGCATTTCGCCATCTCATACGTAAGGGGAGTGACAGCGCCGCCCTCGCTGGAGTTACATGGTCGACTGAAGCCAGCTGCGCATAGCTCCTGACAATATTTCTATATAGGTTCACGTATTCCTGATCCGCACCAAGGACAGTCATATCCTGATGACGGCAAAAGATATCGTAAGTCTCTATGGTCTCTTCTACCATCGGTAGGTCATTTGAGCCGAGAACAGTATCAATTATGGTCAAAACAGAGAGCGCGTATAGGGGGAGATCTCGTGGAACCTTCTCAATAAGCGCTGCGAGGATCTGGAGGGTAACTTGGACATTCCTAGAATGTAGAAAAAAAAATACGCTCGTTTATTAGTACTGAGCTGTTTTACATTGTTCTGGATAGACGCCATACCCGAGCTTCATCCTCCAAACATCTCTAGCAGCCCTTTTCTCCAGAAATGCGCCAACCTTCTGCAGTTTACTTCGTCGCGTGCTGGCATAGTAGAGGAGATAACTGAGCTCTGACGAGTTGGGCTTCACCTCCTGAAAGCCTTTCTGAAACCGTGGATAACATTTCAAGATTAAGACCTGATGTTTCGGTCGGCATGATTGCTGAAGGGAATTCATTTGGGTAACCGTTGTCCCTTGCCTCCAGTAACTTGATGCGTATTATGTTTGTCGTTCCAGACGTCGAATAGGATGGCGTTCAATTCGGCGATAAAATTTAGGGGGGCGCGTGTCCTGATAAACGGCAGTGTACAGCTTTATCCAGCAGGGAAGCAGTGGCGGCCAACACGTTAAACAGTGATTACTTAGTGTTGGATCCTGAGGGAAGGACGGATTCACAGGGCGGACTGAGGGCGGTGGTTCGGGGATGAGACGGCGACAGCGCGACGGGGAGGGAATGGTGGCTGCTGGAGCAGCAGGACCAGACCCAGTTCGGACATGAAGAGGCGAGAACTCTACAATCTAAGAGAAGGAGAAAAGGATGAACAATCCAGCACTCTTAGACTTGGTCATCCGCGTCGTGCCAAAGAAGTTTGCTGGAAGACTTTAGGGGAAGTCCAAAGAAGAAATATTATTTCGGAGATGGGATGATATCAGGCAGGAAAACCATTACAGTACGGTACGGTTGACCCTAAAAATAAACTTCAAGTTGTCCGCGAAACACCAACAACACATCAACATGATCCGTTCAGCTTAAAAAGCCAACAGAGACAAAGGAATTGAAAAAATAGCATTCTCAACTCGAGGTAAATTGAATTTTTTTGGCCTTCACAGTGGTTTGCTGAGCATTTATGCAACCAACTTGATGATTGCAATGCGCGAAACAATTTATCATTGTCTCACCCATTCGTTCCTGTACGTATTGTATTCACTGTATACGCAAACACCCCAACAGTGACCCAAGAGGAAATATCCGAACTCCGAATCATATCTGCAACCGCCAGTGGGCTAGAACTTGCCTCCTAGCCCTCTTGAGGCCTCTATGACGGCAGGCGGGCCACTCGGCTGGCTAGCTGCGTGAGCCATAGGAAGTTGGGAAACCAGTGCTTCTTCCCATCGAATCCCTTACCCCACGATATATGGACAGCTACGAGAATACTGGCATGCGACACACAATATCCAGATCAAACGCGTCCTGCTGCTATCTGTTTTCGTTGGTATTGGTATTGGTATTGGTAGCAAATACATGGCTTTCTCCGTTCGAGTATCAACCGTGACAAACTGAACGAATACCCAGAATGCCTTGCTATAAGAATTTGTGCTTTGTATAGTCAATTATTATCGCCGCTCCATGGCCCCCATTGGCGGATTGGTTGTGGTTTGACAGATCTAGACTACCCCAACTTCCGACTGGCCGAGCAAGCCTTACTGGGCTAAATTCCCCCCGTCAAAAGGTCGATCACTCAATCAGAATTTACCCGGTTGGACGATATGGTAGTCTCGGATCGGCTAGGAAGGCAGGAGTTGGAACACTCGAAAATCTAGAAAAGTTGATATATCAAGTTTGGGTTATTGTCATGTCTTTATTCTACCAACGGGGCCACGGACAGGTGTATTTGTCCTGCAAGGATAACGACCAAAAAAAGAAGAAAAAACGGCCAAAATAAAGTGGGGAACCACATAATATTCTTCTCCACTCTTGATCCTCTCTCGAAAATGGCAAGCTTGGTTTTATCGTTTATTCATTCGACTTTTTTTCCCCGTCGCCGTAGATCCTTGCTTGCCTCGGTAAAATGCCGTAAATCCAGCGGACGGTTGAAGCATCTGGTGGATTTATTAGATGTGGGAGGTTTGACCAAGCTCCAAGTATCCCCTTACTATGGGGTTGGTATCGCCCAATCAGTCAATATCACCAGCACCATCATAAGTGGTGCGTAGATTGCACATGTACATGGTTACGAAATAGTATTGTCTTCCTCTTTCGCCCCCTGTCGCCCACTGTCCTCCCAACGACCTATAAAACACCTCTGAATTAGGTGCGTGTGACGGATTTCTCACCAACACCAAGTTTCCATGACAGTGCATAATGGTGCAAAAAGAAACGGTGTTGAAAGCCTTATTATTCATTCAATTCCGTTTCTGCCCTCAATGCCACCAAGGCCAGCAGTTGTTTTCGCGGCGTCAGGTTCATGCTGGTCGTCTTTCTCGTGGTTATTGATATTCTCTCCGGCTCCGCCAATTGCCGTATCGTTTTTTGTCCCAGCACCCAGCAGCGCCTCGATAACCTGGGGACGAATGACAGCCTGGCGAAATGACTCGTCCTGCAGCAACCGAAGTGCCCGTAGTGTCGCCCCTGGGTGTGTTAAAAACTGCACATATTCAGGTTGTTTCCAGTACGAGTATAAGTAGGCGAGGTAAGCGGCGAATGATTGCGCGTCGGAGATAGGAGTGGACGCAGAATTATCGATGGCGGCACGAGATGAGGAAGATGAAGAAGACACTCCCAGGAGGTGAGGATATGTGATAGCTAGGTGAGAGACGTAATGGGGGTTTGCGAGAGATAAAACGAATTCGAGCTCGAGCGTGAACCGCGGATTTTCCAGGTTGGGGATTGGAGGGTTGGGAGGGTTCGCCTGAGTCATGGTGACTCTACCAAAGGCGCGGCAGATAATCCGAGTTATATACTCGGGTAAGGTATCACGCGGTCTAGATAATACACTCCATGGGTTGCGTCGAAGATGTGTTGGTCTCTTTAAGAACGAAGGATTGCCTTTAGTTTATATCACGTGGTATTTATACAGAGAATATTTGGCTTCCTATTGAGGACTAGTGTACAGAACATCTGTGTCCAAATTGGACATCAGTTTTCGGGAAACTCTCTATAGTAGTTTATAGCTCCAGCGGTAGGGAGCGCATATAGGTGTTTTGTAACTGCTACCTTGGAAAGTCGGCGTGGATAACTTCGGGGGTATTCAAATTGAAGATGGGAGGAATGTGACCACTAACGTGGAACCTCATGGGCTGAGATTAGAAAATGAATGAAGCGCTTGGGATTTCTGGTATTGAGCGATGCTATAGTATGCTTCTCAAGTGCACTCAGGAATGGCTTGATTGAATCTCAAACCAGGGGAAACGCTATCTGCGAGCAAATGGTGCTTCGTCACCACACAGGACAGTTGACGAAGTCCTCCCTTACCTATGTTCCTGAGCTGCTTATCAGCTTCGGATGACTCTCATCAAAGGCATTCCTGAAGAAGGAAAAAAGAAAAAGAAAGATAAGAAAATTTTCTGAGGGCATTTGCGCAACCCTTCCCCACTGGATATGCAAGCCCCATATTCACAAAGGAGAGAAAATGAGAAATGAAAGAAAGAAATTGAACTGCCAGTCCCCGAAGTTGTTCATTTCATATGCGCATGTTCATGTGGATGGGCATGGTGATCAGTAAACGTTCCATGTTGCGCACATGCCCTCCAGCAATCCTCAAGAACCTGCGCACGCATAACCACGTCCCCCAGCTTCCGAATAGTCTTGGAAATCCGCAACAATGATTCCAATCGAAGCGTCAACTTTGCAAATATGCGTGATTCCATTATGCTCCGCATCATGCTCATACACTTATGCCAGAAGCAAACCAGGGGCGACGCCGGAAGAATATGAGGTGCCAGAAAAATATAGAATATCGGAGCGTTTCAATTGCGTAGGGCGGCGCAATCGCACTCGTAGAGACCTGCGGCATAGATATGCTTGTTGAAGGGCCGACATCTCGCTTTGATATTGGCCCGGTAAGTCCAATCTTAGGGAGGTTATTGCTCTTGTCCAGTAAGATTTCTTCCTACACGTGCAGTCATCGACGATAGCCAACTTCATTGTAGCCTCAGAGCTGAAATCCGGCAGTGGGGTAGTCAATCCGACTGTGGAGAGGCCCATCCTAAAACCGCCTCCTCTCCAATGCACAACGGAGTTCTCATCCACGGAATCAAGACTGGGGAGGCTGACCATGCCCGTGAGCGAACTCGCTGGATATCTCTCTCAATGCATCATCCTCGGTAACATGAGCATCGGTGTCATCCTTGTCGCTAACGTAGGCTCTGAATCAAGTCGCCTTGAATGGGGAGTTTGCACAAACAGTGAAGGCCATTGATCAACCTTTCTTTAGAGGTACACAGGCTAACTTTATCTAAAGAATGATACTCTCGCGAAACGGCAAAACAATTGCAAGTACACCAGTGGATGTAGCAATGATCATCTGGAAAGTTTGGAGGTAACAACTAGCGAATGTACGTGAGCTCCCTCACCGAAATCCAGCATTTCCAGATCCCTCAATCTCTGCTTCCCGAAATTTCAGAGCAGCTCGAGAAGAATGGCGGTGATTTTTCTATTTTTTGAAACCTCGGAAGCGATCACGATTCAGGCCTCAGTAGACATCGCTTCAGGCACTGTTGGCCAACAACAAATTGCGCCAGTTGCAGCAGGGTGTATGATCTCCCTTTTGGCTAGCACCTGAGTCGCTGCAAATTTACGCAGGTTCTAGAGCCGTGTGATAGTATGTCGACTGTCGAGTTCCACTTGAAACGTTGACGCCAAGATGGATATCTCCGTTGAAACCTGAGCGCGGATTTGCATTAACTATGATATTGCCGCCCCCAAATATCTCAAAATGGCAGCAGGATTCTCTCCCCCATCAGCCATCTCGTCGATCGGGGGATGGTTCAAATCAGGGAGTACTAGATCCACTTTGAGCTCGGAAGCTCAAGACACCCTTGTTTGATGCGGATAGGGGCAATATCAGGCCAATGGAAAATCCCGAGATTGGTTGCAGAAAAAGCACGCGAAGGCGTCGTTAGGTGTTGCAGCCACTAACTATTAATATTCCGTAGCTAATCACCAAGGACTAGGCATTTTGCTGCTATGAGGATTGGCGTGTTTCCCACAGCCAGCCCTGCTGATTCGATGGTCGACATCCATTTTTTAAGGGAAATGGCGTTCATGCCACTTGGTGGGATTTCATGAGGGTCAAACATAAGGCTATTTATTTGCCTATCAAACGACGACTCTAGGATTGGCTATTGACAAGCTTTTTAGTTACAGATGGTCGACCACCAATAGATAGCACACCATTTTCAGTCTGGATAACAAACATTTCCTGACCTCTGATAAAGAAAGAGGTATATATAGAGAGAGACGATTTACAGGCCCATGGTATGCGGATGATGAGGCCAAAATCTAATTTAAATACAGACGTAAGTAATCTGTATACATACATGTCTCCGAAGGTTGAAGAGGATATTTATTGGATCATGGTTATGTCAGGAATGAAGGGATAGTTAACTAATTAACTAACAATATAACAACAGATGAAGCATTTCCTGATAATCAAATGCCCTACACCTTTTAAAATTCAGTTGTCCAATCGTCAGCCCCGGGCCTCCCACCATTTTCATTGCAAATATCCGTCGCTTACATACCGAGTCATCATTCATTACTCTGGATCATTTGGATGCGAAGCAGCAGCCCAGTTGCACCAGTCCTCCCCTAGAGATATATCAAGGTGAGCAACAATGCAGTGTGCCCAATGAGAGCATGTGAAGGAGAATTTCCACGGAGATGGCTCGATCAGAAGGGGAATCTTACAGAGTATGTAAGTCATCAAATCAGAGTTAGGGGTGAAAAGCAGCGTTCTGAAATCTTCGATCTCCAATTTTCAACGCGATTGCTTCCATCTTGCGGGGAGCCTTTCATACCCGATGATAAATACTCAGGCTCAACGTGCCGTCCAGCTGTGAAACCCTGAAAAATGTACAGAATATTTGGTCAAGAGTTATCTCATTTGTTGATCGACAATCTCACCCATTATGCTGGTAGATGATTGACAGGGGTTTTTTTCTCTTCTCGCTTGCAGGTTTAGATTCCCCACGTAGTAAGCTTGCTTTGCAACCGTAGTCAATGCAGGTCGGATTCGACATACGTGTTTTTTTTGAGTGCATTATGATGGATAGAATACATTTCTCCCTCATCAAGTTCCAAAATGGACCGTTGCCAGTCGTCCGGGTGGTTGAACAATCACATTGCAAACATGGTGGTTTTCCGTTCGTAGGCAATTAATGCAACAAATCCGCAGATCTTCCCTTCTTTCCCCCTTGCATATATATCCATCTCTCTGGATCCTACGAGCACAGCAGTTTATATCAGAACCTTGACAGGGGAGATATGAGCATGAGGGCCTAGGGGCATTGAAAAGGCAAGGGATGAACAGGCGAGGCAAAGGGTTTGAGCCATATGAGGTCAATGAAGAGGCTCAACTGTCCTTAAACAGGATTGGAACATACAATTCTGTTGTAGAGCAGAGTTCTCGATGCACTGCACTGAGGATCATGGAAAATCAACGGGCTTGGGTTGGTCTAACAAGTTTCCTGTTTTCTTTTGCAGATTACCTAGGTCGGAAGCATATTAATTACATCGTAGAGTATTTAAATGGATCTTCCCGCGCTCTGATGTAACGGATTGACGTTGAATTTCTATTTATCAAAGCAGAGGTAAAAATCCATATATAGAGTGCGTTAACTCGGAACTTCGGAATTCAGTCAAATAATATTCATCGATACACAGAATTCCGTACGGCGAATTTCATGTAGCTCACCTCGCCAGTCGCCGTCTGTTTGCAGCAGCGTGATCAATTGCTCTATCGTGGACGAACCTCGATGTTGCTGACAGATTACGTACATTGATTGTTGTCAAAATTCCCCTCTGTTCAGCGGTGGCAGAAGATTGTAGCTGGAGGTTCTTATTGCTTATCGATGACTGCAACCAGGCCATGTTTTAGCCTGCACCTTGATAAGTGAACTAAAGCAGCCCCTTTATCCGTTCCGCGTTTACTCCTTCATTTTCCCCATCCATGGATCCTCGTGTCCCGTCACTAACATATTGATCCGTGTTCCCCCCTTGTTTTCTCCGACGGTACACTCCTTAAATCAATCAGAGGCATTCAGTCTCACCGGTAAGCATGCCTATCCATTCAATCGTTTGATCCACCTCGTTGTCTGTCTTTCTTTCAGTTGGTCTTGACAGCTTCGTCCATCATCGTTTTCCCCACCCTAATACCCAGCCTCAGGCGCTGTTTGGCCACCACCCCGATTGTTTCACGTTCGAGAAGCGACGTTGATTCGCCCTGGCGGGTTGAAGGCTTCTCCTAACATCACCAATCGACCTGGCTTTGTGACGGCCACTGACTGGCAAGTTAGCTGACTGCCCAAAGAACGGTTAGAGATTAGTTTGCCATTACTGGGAGGGATCCACCTCGTCATCGTCCGCCGTGCCGTCGTTTGCGTGTTTCCTCGTAGTTGTCCCTGATCATCGCCCGACCCCAACCAACTTGCCGACGACAACGGGCGGTTCCAGGGTTTCGAGGAGAAGAAAGACACATCGCGACGACCCACCATCCTCTTGTCATTGTCAAATAAGAAAGGGAAGAAGACACAAGAAGCACAGCTACTGGGCCTGTTCCTGTCGCGTGCTTTCAGGATTGTTGGCCGGCTGTTGGTTCACAGGATCCCCACCTGCTGCTGGTCTTTCTTTCTCCGACCTGAAACCGGTTGTCACTGCCGCGGTGACTTCATTCTCCTTGTCCTTAATAATACTCATCTCCTGTCATCATGTCTCTTGCCCCGATATCAGTGCCAGGTTTGTGAATGTTCATTTCTCTTTTTGATTCAGTGTTCTGACTTGCCCACAATAATAACAAGAACAACAACAACAACACAAACCCAATGATTTTTTCCATTCTCATCTACTCTTAATACCATAAGCCCTATCTCTTGTCTATCAATCATTCTTCTCCCTACTACTGCCTCCTCTTTGTGCCAGCTGCGATCACTAGTGGTTTCAGACTGCCTGCCAGCTACCGTACACCACCCATCCGGGGCAATTTGAATTCCCAACCTGCCATGCTATCCATCTAAGATCTTGCTAATTTCGTTTCGTCATTCTCCTTCTCAGACCGGCAACCCTCACCGGGATTGACTGTCAATTTGGGATCCAATAATCCCTTTAGAAATCGTGCCTCTTCGGCATCGTTTGCTTCCACAACAGGCCCTCCCCTGAGACAACAGCGCCCAGTGTCAAGAAACCCATTCCTCGACGACTCAGAATCTCAGGCTTCACTCCTTGCTTCAGCCGGGAATATGTCACCCGAAAAGCTTCCATCAGCGGATCCTCCGTCGACCGGACATGTTGCAGAATTATTTGTATGTGCCATGGCCTCTCAACAAACTCGAAGTGTCAAGCATTACCAGCTCAGTTTCCTGTGCCGTACATACTAATGCAGGGCATATTTTTTTTTTTTTTTTGTAGGAAGACCTCTCTCTTGACAAGCCAGCCGATAAGCCGTCGAATTCAAACGGAAGACGACCACCCCCACGACCGGAAAATGTCCCCCCCTCTGGACACACTCTCTCTGATGATAAAGCCTCCTCCCGCCGCCCAGCTCGGAAGCCATCCGGAGAAGAATCACAGTCACGCAGCAAGGGAAATAGGCGGGGTCCAACTGGAAACGTCTTCGCAGATCCCAAAGAGTCTTCAAAATCCCGCAGTCAACGTCGACCCCGCCGGAACTCAGACTCTTCCATAATGGACAGACCGTCAAAATCACTCGACCCTGAGGAGGAAAAACGAAGGCGAGAAAGGAGACATCGAGAACGTGATGCTAAACACAAGGACAGCAAGTCTCGCAGCAGGCGAACAAACGGCCATAGGCTCGACGTTATTGATAAGTTGGATGTTACCAGCATATATGGGACAGGCCGTAAGGGACCAATTGCCGTCTTTACAAATACTTTTTGTTTTATCTTCTATTTTCTTTTAAATTCTCACTAATGTTCCAATTTACTTTGTTAAGTCTTCCACCATGATGGACCGTTCGATGCATGCAACCCCCACCGCAATCGTAAAGGATCGCGGGCGGCCCCAATGCAAGCTTTCGCGAAGGATTCGAGAAACATGGCTTTGGGTGGGGCTGGCCCTAATAACAGCAATATCGATCTCAATCTCTTCCATGGACGAGGGGCTGAGGGGTATGCGGATTATGCAAGCACTGGTAGTTTGACTAGCAGCAAGATAGGCCAAAGCACAGCATTCGACCCAACAGCAAAACTGGAACCGATTCATGGGGCTGAAAGTATGGGTTTGGGAACTAGTACATTTCTGGAAGGCGCTCCCGCGAGTCGCGCTGCCATCCAGCGGCGTGAAAATGAGACTGAAGCTCAAAACTTACAAAATGGAGGATTACAGCGCAAGAAGAGTCTCGCACAAAAGATCCGCGGAATTAACAATAGAGATAGAGTCCCACGGGTTACTTCACCAGATTCTACTGCTGATTCCAACAATCAACACACTCAGGCAAGCCCTCCTCGAACTTCCGGCTCCAAGCGACATAACGATAGGAACCCATTCTTCCAACAACAGGATTATGATGATGCATACGATAAAAAAGGTGCCAAGATCCAACTTTCAGATGACATGACTGATAGCCTCCTTCCCCGGACCAGACAACGATCAATTAGTAGCCCAAAGGATATTCTAGGCGAAAAGAGGGTTACAGAAGAACGAAAGTCCAGTATCGGCGGCGGCGAGGACGCAAAGGCTCCTGCACAGACAGCTAGTGGTAGCAGTGGCTTCATCAGCCGAGTCAAAAGCCTGAGAAGACCGCCCCAACCGAAGAAAAAGGCGGTGACAACAGCGGGCGAGTCTTCGTCTTGAGAATATGGCTGTACATCTGCTATGACCGCAACAGTATACATGCGTGGTAGATCGATGGGATGTGCGGAGGGGAATTACTTGGAAGGAAATCCGATTTGGTAGATGTGCAGCGATGTTAGGCGTACAATTATTGGAACTGGTGGAAGCCAGTTGAATGCTCTTTTTGTCCATTTTTCCAGGTCTCCGATTTTGTATTCATTATGTTTATTCCGACGACTGTTTCGTGGGTTGTTTTCTATGCCTTCTCCTTTCATTTATTTTTTTTTTTTACTTATTATTAAATCACGATCCTTCATTGTCCTTTCAAGTGCACCGATGTTTCTCTTCTCTTCTTCCTTGGCTCAAATTATTTCGAGGCTCCCTGCTAGCTAATTATGTTTCATTTTTTGTGTGTATTCGTGTCCTTTCCATTTACTATCACATTCACCTTTCCTCATGTGCGTTGGGTTTTCTTGTATTATTTTTCTCACTCTCATAATTCATGGATGCCAGGCAGGATTATTTAGGTTAGTATAGCAGTTTAGTTTGTTTTCTACCCCTCTATATTCTTCTATGAACTTCTAGTACTGTTCAAAGGGATCAGCCCGTGCATGTCTTGCATGCAACCAGTCTGTCTAGGTTTCATTAGATTGAAATAGTTGGCTCAGTAACAACCTTTTTTTCCCCCCGATTTCCCCTTCTCATCTACACAGTAGTTATCCCCTTTTTTTGCTCCTGTTCTTTTTCTTTCATTTCTTTCATTTTTCCTTGCTGATGCTTCACCTTTAAATCTTCTATATTCTACATTATTTTCTTTCTCTCCTTTTAAACATCCCCCCCCCAAAAAAGGAAATTGACTGGTAAGTAAGTCTCTTTGATATCTACTCACTGATTATCTATTCGTTGCGTCATCATGCGATGCTCTGCTCTCCTGCCCTATTCTGCTACTTCAATGAACTACTTCAATGAAGTCTTGCCTTTCTTGATTTTATTTTTATTTTGGAGAGTAAAATGTTGGGAAATGTGCCTGTAATAAAAACATCTCCTAAATATACCAGAAGGTAAAATAACGAAAACATATATACAGTATTAAAATATTTAACTTCCCTATATACATACATACATATGCTGGTCGGTGGTCTGGAGAGGATAGTGAAACTCCAAACAAGAAACACCACGATAGAATATCACGGGATTATCCTCTCCTTGGAAACGCAGACACTTCCAACATAATAATCCATATATAACTTATTACTTCACCGGGCCCTGGAAGAAACTCAAGCGTCCAAATCACAACCCAAGACCAGCAAGCAGCCTGCTGCTTCTTCTATCTAGCCTGCATTACTTCTCCTTCTGCGCATCGCCACCATCACTCGTCGAAGCGGCAATGGCGACGGCGCTCTTATCCCCCGTGCCGGCGTATCCACCAGCATCTGCGGTTTGAGCAGAGGTGGCTAATGAGTAATCTTGATCGTCCCTGTCCAAGACGTCTTTGCGCCAGAAATCTTTCTTGCTGTTTTGAGGTGAAAGCGGGAATGTTAGTTTGGCCGTTATCACATATATATATATATATATATATATATATGGTAGGAGGCAAAAATATGCGGAATCAAATGAAGGAAAAACATACCCATGCGCCAACCGAACTAGCCAGCCGGGCAAGATCCCGCCCGGAATCCTCCACGACCACGGTTCCTTCAGGTCCTTGTTATGCGGCACGAAGCGGCCACCCGAGACCTTCTCGAGGACGAAGGCCACCGTATTGAGCAGGATATATGACATAATCCCAGCAATAAGACCATAGGCGATCGAGTATGTAAAGGGCATCACCGCCAGTGTAACAAAAGCAGGCACCGCATCACCAATATACGACCAGTTGATATCCGATGCGACTTTGGTCATCATCGATCCGACCAGGACGAGCGTGCAGCCCGTCGCCCACGGCGGGATCGAGGCGAATATAGGCGCGAAGAAGATGGAGACGAAAAAGCAGAGCCCCGTAACCATAGCGGTGATACCCGTGGCGCCTCCTTCGGCAATCCCGGCGCCGGATTCAACGAAGGCTGTCACGGGGGACAGGCCGAGGAGGGAACCAATGGAGATGCTAAATGCATCCACCATATAGGCGACGGCTGATCCTTCGAAGTCCTGCGTTCTCTCGTCAATTGCGCCACAGTAGCGCGCCATGGAATATAGCGTGCCTGTCGCATCGAGAATGTCGACGTATAGGAAGGTTATGAACGCCAGGCCGAATTGGCCCCCTGCGCTGCCGAGATTCCAGTCCTGGGCTGCCAATGTCTTCCTGATGGGGTGGAAAGTGACGACCTTTTTGAAGAAATCGAATGAGTCGTCTCCCTGGGGATTGTGTGGAAAGAAGGTGACATTTGTCGGCCGGGGCCAAGAGATGATGGACACGAGGAGGATACCGGCAATTATGGCGCCCTTGACGCTGTACATGAGGAGGACGCAGGTGAAGACACCACCACAGAAAAGACCAACCCAAAACGTTGGGTTGCGCATTTTGGCTCCGGAGGGACAAACGCCATCTATCATCTCGCTCTCCACACATCCAGCAAGGGAGAGTGGTGTTGCTCGGTCACCAGTGATGGCACCAATACCGGCACTGTACGTTAAGCCAATGAGAGCTATTTTAAAATCAAACAACAAAGATATCGTTAGAGCCCGTGGCCTTGGGGGGGTGTTTCTAGGATAGAAAAATCAAGTAAAACCCAAAGGTATTAAACGCACATAGATAGAGCCCAATGCCAGCACCCGAGGCGAGTTTGATCGACCGTGGAATAGCTCTTGCAAGCCATTGGCGCATACCGCATACCGACAAACCCACAAAAACAAACCCTTCAATGAAGACAGCGGTAAGCGCAAGGCGATAGGGAACGGGGCCAGTGCCACGGAATCCAACAACGTTATACGTGAAATATGCGTTCAAGCCCACTGGAAGCGAAGTTGCTTTATTAGCCACTTTTGTTTTATTTTTTATATTTTGTTTTCTCCGAAAAGAGGGATGCGTACTTCCAGGAGCCAGAGCGATTGGCATATTGGCAAATAAACCCATACAGAACGACGAAAGGGCGGCAATCGCTGCAGTGCCCGTAATGAAGTCCCGTCTGAGCGCATTCAAACACAACTCGTATTCTGTGTTTCCGGCACATGTTGGGTTTTCCTGGTCGCTGCAGATGCATGTGCCTCCAGATTGAGTCAGGATGTTGGAATTGACCTTCCGGACCGTTAGCATTATTGTTATTCTTGCCATATTTTGCAAAGCCACAATGGATACTACTTGTATATACAGAGGGGCCCAAAATACATACAGAGATGATGTAGGCCATGGCAAAGAAGGTGGTGAGGCCGGCACGGACTTCAGTCAAGAAGCGCGATCCCTTCCGCTCATGTCGCTAGGTGAAATAAGAATATGAAATCGTCAGTCTGTAAGGCTTCTTCTTCTTGCCCTGTCTTTCTATCTAATTCTTTCTTTGCTTGCTTACATGGCCAGAATTTTCCAGCCTGAAGCGGCGGCCGATGAGGCTGTCCGCGACCACACGGTTGATGGCCATGCCCCAATTCTTCATCTTGACCCGCCGTGCTCAAGACAAGGAGGAGACACCACCTGGGGTCCCGGGGAAGGATTGAGAAAGCGTGAAGTGATTCTTATATTGACTTGAAAAGAATGAGAGTTCAGGGAGGGGAAGCAAAGGAGCGATGCGCCAGCTCTCTCTATAAACAGCGGCATTCATCTGGTGGCGTATTAAGAGAACGGGATTTGTCAAATCTTCCCTTTTTTTTTTTTTTTTTTTTTTTTTTTTTAATTAGCTTCTTTTTGTGTTCCCCATCTTTTTCTCCGTCTCTTGATGGAGGATGGAGATGCGGCGGTTTCATTGGTTCTCTTGTGGCTTTTAACGGGCCTGGCTCGTGCGCTGATGCAAGAAACACGAGCGTTCTGCGCGATGCAAGCCAGCCGATCATGGAGCGCCAGTCAAACAGATAACTTTGCAGTTTCTCACGCCCTCATCTCTTCCTTGGCTCAGGCGACGTAGATCTGCCAGAGTTGGACGGTCTGAACGTTGCTGGGACGGGCTTTTTTTTTAGCATGATGGCTTCTAGAATCGGGTTGTTGAAAGAAAACTACGAGTATACATATCATACATATCCCCTCTCATATCCGTAGAAGAATGGAAATATATGCATGAAATTAGACTAGGAAAAAAGAGAAGAAATTAATAGGGAAAAATAAAGTCAGTATTGTTTAATGCATCATCCGTGAATCGAACACGGGCCTCATCGAGTTAGATCCCATTAAGGAATGGCAACGATGAATTCTACCACTAGACCAATGATGCTTGTTGCTTGGAGGGTGAGATATGATCAAACTATTAAGTATAAATGGTGCGAAAAACGGAATATGTCATTATCGCGTCTTCGCGCCTCTGCTAACTACTTAATTAAATTCAAAGTCGCTCTTCACGAAATACTCAAAAGAGTTGACCAATTTATTTATTTCTGCATTCGAATCTATCGACCTGCTACCACCTTATCCTAATAATAACGAAGCTAACCGAGTAACCCCCAAAATCCAGCAGGAAGATTACAGTTTGCATTGAAAGAATGCCCGTCGTGCGCAACCGCCGTCGCGCTGTACGTCTTCTATCATATCTAATTATTTCCTTCTTCCCTTACAGGTCAAATCGAACCTTCAACGAGGTTTTCTGAGAGTTCGAACTAACGCAACGATTCCTCCTCTCTTTTGAAACAGCCCGACGACGAAGATGAGTCGAATGTGAATTCTGAGGCCTCGTTTGATCCCCAGCATGGTCCCTCCCAACGACCCACACAGCAACAAAAACGACAGCGGCGCCAGGCCTCTGACTCCGATTCAGATGCTTCTACAGATGGCCGGTCGACGCCGGAGATCTCCACCCAGCTTCACAGAGCCATTGAGGTAATGGTCAAGAAGCTTGTACGACTCGCACTGGCGAGCGAGTATTCGCGGCAGGTCATCCGGCGAACCGATATCAGAGACAAAGTGCTGGGGGAGCAAGGGTCGAGGCAGTTTAGGCAAGTTTTCGACGGAGCGCAGAGGGAGTTGATGGAGAAATTCGGCATGCAGATGGTGGAGCAGCCGTTGAGGGAGAAGGTGACGATTAGTCAAAGGAGAGGTTTGTGTTTTATTTCATGTTCTTTCCCCTTCCGTTGACTTTGAGCTTTCAAAAACGTAATATCCCTTCCTCCACCGTGCTTGCCAGCACACATAGGGGAATATCTAAACATCCATGTGGTGAAAATACGTCTAACCAATTCCTCGCACCGCCAGCCGCCCAACGCACCGAGCGACCTGCCACAACCACCAAAACCTGGACTCTCACAACCATCCTCCCCGCCGCTTACCGGACCCCAGCCATCCTCCCGCCAACAAGAGCGCCCTCCTCCGTAACCGAAAGCACCTACACCGCCATCTACACCTTCATAATATCCGCCATCCTTCTCTCCGGCGGCTCCATACGCGAACAGAAGCTAGACCGCCTCCTCCGTCGCGTCAACGCCGATAACTTCACACCCATCGACCGCACGGATAGGCTGCTGGCGCGCCTATGTAAGGAAGGTTATATCGTGCGTAACCGGGAGATGGATGGTGGGGAGGAGGTTGTGGAGTATCTTGTTGGGCCTAGGGGAAAGGTTGAGGTAGGTGTCGCGGGCGTGTCTGGGCTGGTACGGGAGGTGTATGGATTTAGTGAAGGGACCCTTGATGGGGTTGACAGCATGGATGCGGCGGGTAAGAGACAGGAGGAGGTGGAGGCGTTTGAGAAGAGGTTGAAGAGAAGTTTGGGGATTCGGGAACCGTTGCATTTCGGGAAGGAGGATGGTGATGGTGATGGGGACAGTGATGCTTGATGACGAGTCTGTCATTCCTTGTTATATCCTCCTCCCGAATATGTTGGTTGAATAAAATTAAACTTATTGCATGTATTTCTTCCCAACTTCTTTTATTTCCCCCTTTTGTTGCTAAAGGAGTTTACGATTTCAATGTTGTCTTTTTTTCTTTCTTCTTTTTGCAATTTCTGGAGCGTATGATGTCAGTTTTCAAATAATAAATGGTTTAAAATCTATATGTTCGAACTCTCCCCGCTCTCTACTAGACCATTGCCCTTTGAATGAAGCAAATAACAATCAGTGAAAGGAACCAGGCCTCCAGGGCTAGCTAGACCTAAGCGCTTTTTTGTCCATATAAAGGGAAGCCATATATATCCATCGATATTGCCCCAATGTCCTTGGGCATGGAAGAACAACCTCTTATTGGAAGAGATAAGAGAAGATACAATAGGACACCCCCAGACAACAGCGAAGATATACGGATGAAAAAGGGAAAATGCGCATATGCATCCGTGCCTGTGCCACGAGGGCTTTTACTCTCTTGCTTATACATGTGGGTATATATCTATATATGTAGCTGGACAACTTGCTCTTTGCGCAGTGCAAGGGGGGAAGAGGGAGCAAGTAAGTATAAGAATGGGAACCAAAAATGGAGAAGGGCCCCGGGTGGGGAATGCATGGGCTAAATACCTGGATAGATAGGTAAGAAGAGGTGGATAACAAATAACTCGAGGGTAAATGGAAGGACGGATACTGCAATAAAAAAGTCAAGAAACAAAAAAAAAAATCGGACACAACAAGGAAACAGACGCTAAACAACAGCAAATCATGCATGTGGTACCCAAAGGCAGTTTTCCCCCCTTATTTCTTCTTCCAGCTTTCTTTCGTTCTGTTTTTCGCCTTTTTCTTCTCTTTTAGCTTTTCGCATACGCGAATGGAATTTAATCAGAAACGTTGAATTGATCTAATATAGCCGAGGAAGAAAAACAACAAGAAGAAGACTCGTAAACGGGACATTCTCTCACACCACCCAAGCACTATCTATCCTCACTCAGAATCACTCGCGCTATTCCCCGCCCGCGCACCATCGCCATCGCTATCAGGATCATCTTGTAACCCCAACCCCTCATTTAGTAGATATTCCGCCTGCCTCAGTTCCCTTCGCAACTCCTCTGGAATCATATCCGGCAATCGGGAAGGCGTCTCGCCATTTTTATTCGTTACCCGCGGGTCGCAGCCGGCTTCGCACATCATTTTAACCATTGTGATGGCATCTGTGACAGAATTGTAACGGCTCGTGTCGTTTGCGTAGCGCGCGACGAGGTGAAGGGGGGTTTCTTTGTCGAGTCGAGTTCTTGGGTCGCATTCGAAAAATTCTATATCGAAGAGGAAATCGGCTGCGTGGTCTGCGGTTGGGCGTATAGAAATAGATTGTTAGATTTTCTTCATTCACCCTTGTTCCTTCTTAGAAGTAGGATTGCATGGTGTACGTATGGTGGTTGGGGTCGCTAGACACAGGGTAATGGAGAGTCGGGCGTAGAGTCTATTGTTATGGACAGAGGCTATGCCACTCACAGCTTCCATGCATAGCACAGATATGAAGCGCATGATTGCCCAAGGGATCCGTAACGCTGTTGAAAAACGCAGCAATTTCCTCATTTGTTTTCTTCCCACTCTCCATCTCTGTAAGGACTTCTTCTAGGGCATCCGTGTTATCTTCCCGGCAGGCTGCGGCAACTCTCTCAGCAGGACTGGCTCCCTAAAAATACCAGAACTTTTGTGAGAAATTTGCCCTTTTCACTACATTTGAAAGAAAGGATGAAAGGTATGGATTGATTCAACACACCTCATCGTCCGCTATTCTCTTGTCATCCTCCGGGCGCATTGTGTTGGGTCTATTGCTTCCCGTTTGCGTAAAAGAGGGCAATTGCAACCCGAGCGCGGGGTATGCTTTGGGGTTTCGAAGTTTGGTCTAATTTTGAGAGACCTATGAATACGGAAGTAGGAGTGCGTCAAAATTTACTCATGCGGAATTGTCACGGAATAAATAAGCAAATCAACACTCAACGGTGAAGCTGGAAGCCTGGAGTTGATGATGCGGGGGCGGGACGACCAACCAAGCGCTAAGCTATGATGCTTCGCCGTTGTCGTAGTCAACAAAAACGAAAGTATTTTGACCTGCCAGGTAAAGCCGCGATGGAGGAGAGGCTCGGTATAGTCGCAGTCCTTATTCTTGCTATTAGGGTTGTTAGTGGTCGTGTTGAGTGTTTGTATCAGCCAAGCCTCTGGATCTGTAAAAATATAGGAACAAATATATTCCGGCTAGCCACGCAGAAGTGCGGCGCTTAATTCAAGGGATTTAATAGAACAAATTAGTCGCGCGGGAATGTTTTGCTCGCAGATCGGCCAATAAGGCATAGTGGACGAGACCCACGGCAGCACATCTGGAGAGCAACGGCGGGATGCAATGAGCTCACACACTGTATCCATTTTTGGAAATCCCTCGGTGTGACAATGATATCGCTACCTATAATATACTATATCTCTGGATAGTCATTGATTCAATCAATTCAATCATCTGAGAATTCCAGCCAAAAATGCCTTTGACATGTGAGTATCCTCAAAGCTTCACCCCAATACTTTGAATGTCCTGCAAAGTTTCTCGTTTAAGTAGGCCACCATTTGATTCGCAAAATGTGTTCTTAGTTTGTCCAAACTGTAGCAATGCCCTTACCATCTCCCGGGCAGATCCCAGCCCTCGCTACCCACTAGGTGTCAACAGATTCGAATGCCGCACTTGTCCCTACCAATATATCCTCGACCGAACGTACTACGAGAGGACGGAGATGAAGCGGAAGGAGGTTTCTGATGTGTTGGGGGGGAAAGATGAGTGGAAGAACGCCGATAGCCAAGGGAGTGAGTCACCAACCACCTACATATAATGAATGACCATGGAAATTTTCGAGCTGTTCCATTTTACTCCCTTAATTGCCCCACGCTTTGAGGATTTCCCCCTTTGCTATTTTGGTCAATGCCTTGTCCCTGTATCTGTACAACGACTGCTGACTACCCTCTTCCCTCCATCATTATTATTTGCAGCGCAATGCCCCGCGGAAGGCTGTGATGGCGACCGTGCATATTTTTACCAATTGCAGATTCGAAGCGCCGACGAACCAATGACTACATTCTTCAAGGTACGATATAAGCTTTAGAAAAAATCGGGACTCCTGCCGGTTCCCTGCCTCCTCCCTGCCTCCTCCCCCTCCCAACTTTGGAGCTTTACAAGGGAAAGGAAATCCACATATGTTTGCAAACGTAAACAAGGGAAGACCAATGCTGACTTGACAACAAATTTGCAGTGCACAACCTGCGGGGCTCGATGGAGAGAAAACTAGGGCAAAGACAACTCATCTTCTCTGTCAATGGAAATGAGTCACCCCGTGAACTTTCTCGAACTACCCTAACTTTACTCCTGGTTTGGTCGTCGTTGTGGCTCAAGGTAGCCTAATTTACGGAGAGGCTGATACAACTAGCTTTCAAACAAGTTTCTCTCCGGTTCTTTCGACCTTTTGAAAAACAAAATACATGTACTGCTATTACATCGATACTCCCCGAATCAAAAATTCAAGATATGCCAAATTTGGCCATAATACAGAACAGCTGTAGCATTGTAACATGAACATCTGGGACTGAATAATTCGAGTGAAGAGATTTGCTGATTTCATGTCTGAAGGCAGGTATGGAAAATTGCTCTACTATAATTGATATTTAAGTCAGTGTCTCCCTAATAGCCAGCAATAAAGGCAGTTCAGTTATCTTTTGGTCCCTATTTCCAAAGCCAACGACACTTATCAAAAAGTGGTAACTGTAGCGGCCCTGAATGAGCCCCGCCAAAAATACAGCGAGTAAGCACGTGATGTACAAAAATGGCCTAGTAGGCTCGCCTCCTGCACTTTCCCCCGCCCAGAAAGCATACAAAAACCCCTCTCTTCGCACAAAAATTTTTTCCCTTTCCCTCTTCCTCTGCTCGTCTGCTTCAGTACGTATCCTCTCAACCCTCATGCCCCGCCTCCTCTCCCCGTTCCAACATCCTACCTCTCCATAGCTTTTCCATATTTTCTAACTGACCTTTCCAGCACCTCTACGCATTCTTGGCCGTAGTATCTGAGCGTTCTCCTGGTCTCTTCTAGTCTCTTCCAAAGAACTACAAGATATCGAATCTTTTTCCATCCCAAACTCTCCCAATTTTCACATTTAAATCCCGCCACCATGGGGTAAGCATCCACCGATTCCATCTTGATTAATTTCTTCGACTAACTCTGGCGTTCTTTCCCATCACACAGTAAGGAAGACAAGACTCACATTAACCTCGTCGTCATCGGCCACGTCGATTCGGGCAAATCTACCACCACTGGTAAGCAACCCCTCCAAACACACTATGGCTGTATCGCGAGACTTTTCTGACCACTATACTCTCGATAGGTCATTTGATCTACAAATGCGGTGGTATTGACAGCCGTACCATTGAGAAGTTCGAAAAGGTAAAGAAGAATTTTTGTCTTCATTTTACTTCCAAAAATTTTTTTTGGCTCTGTTACCCCTCTGTTTTGGTTTTCGCTAGTTCCTCATCTGCAGCCACAATACATCCAGCGCAACTGACCCATGCATTGCCCCTCCACTTGGCATCATTTTTCTCCAACCAATCATAATTCTCATTGATGCGCTTTGTGATATTTTTATTTTCGGGGAGAATTTCCCAGGGAAAACAGGTTTTAACATTTCCCTAAACATATTCTAACTGTCTACCTATAGGAAGCCGAAGAGTTGGGCAAGAAATCCTTCAAATATGCGTGGGTCCTTGACAAACTGAAGTCTGAGCGTGAGCGTGGTATCACCATCGATATTGCCCTCTGGAAATTCGAGACTCCGAAGTACAGTGTCACTGTCATTGGTGAGTGCTTTTTACCCTTCTTAAGCAGATTTCAACTTCCAGAGTATCTACTCTAACATATCCGCTTAGATGCTCCCGGCCATCGTGACTTCATCAAGAACATGATCACTGGTACCTCCCAGGCTGACTGCGCTATCCTCATCATTGCTGCCGGTACTGGTGAGTTCGAGGCTGGTATCTCCAAGGATGGCCAGACTCGTGAGCACGCTCTGCTTGCTTTCACCCTTGGTGTGAGGCAACTCATCGTTGCCATCAACAAGATGGACACCACCAAGTGGTCCGAGTCCCGTTTCAACGAAATCATCAAGGAGGTTTCCAACTTCATCAAGAAGGTCGGATATAACCCCAAGGCTGTTCCCTTCGTGCCAATCTCTGGTTTCGAGGGTGACAACATGATTGAACCCTCCCCCAACTGCACATGGTACAAGGGCTGGAACAAGGAGACTGCCTCTGGCAAGTCTTCTGGTAAAACCCTTCTCGATGCCATTGACGCCATTGAACCCCCAACCCGTCCTACCGATAAGCCCCTCCGTCTTCCCCTCCAGGATGTGTACAAAATCTCTGGTATTGGCACTGTTCCCGTCGGACGTGTTGAGACTGGTGTCATCAAGCCCGGTATGGTCGTGACTTTCGCTCCCTCCAACGTCACCACTGAAGTCAAGTCCGTCGAAATGCACCACCAACAACTCCAGGCTGGTTACCCTGGCGACAACGTCGGCTTCAACGTCAAGAACGTTTCAGTCAAGGAAGTCCGCCGTGGCAACGTTGCTGGCGACTCCAAAAATGATCCCCCTAAGGGCTGCGAATCCTTCAATGCCCAGGTCATCGTCCTTAACCACCCCGGCCAGGTTGGCGCTGGTTATGCCCCAGTCCTCGACTGCCACACTGCCCACATTGCTTGCAAGTTCTCTGAGCTTATTGAGAAGATCGACCGCCGTACCGGAAAGTCTGTTGAGAACAACCCCAAGTTCATCAAGTCTGGTGATGCTGCTATCGTCAAGATGGTTCCCTCCAAGCCCATGTGCGTGGAGCCCTTCACTGACTATCCCCCTCTTGGACGTTTCGCTGTCCGTGACATGAGACAAACCGTAAGTTTTTAAATTCTTCGCTATTCATATATGTGAATCCGTTGACTAATTACCTTAAACCCATACAGGTCGCTGTCGGTGTCATCAAGTCCGTCATCAAGTCTGACAAGACTGCTGGCAAGGTCACCAAGGCCGCGCAGAAGGCCACCAAGAAATAAATTGGCTAGGCCCCAACACTCCCTCAGACAAAAAATGCCAGAGCGACAAAAAGAGGGGATAATCAAATACATGGCCATCTGGGTGATGAGCAAATAGGAGGCGTTTTACTTTCTCCCTTTCCTCATTACATGTGAAAAAGCGGGCGAAATATGGCGACTTGACATGGGCCCTTTGCAAACCTTGGTTGGTTTCATTCTTCCTGCCATCCCCTCCTTTGCATTCCCTGGATTCCCTGTCTCCCATTTCCCTTGGCATTTATGTTTTTTCGTGTCCTCCCTAGTTAAAAAGGAAAAGTGGCTTTACGATTTATTTTCTCTTTTTCTATTAATTAGATGGGCCTTTCTTACAAACAACACCCTCCCCTTCAAATCCCTTTCCTTTTTGTTTTCCTTTGTCTTTATGAGTACGAATCCCAAAAATTCCAAATATTAATGACCGTGTTTTTACCCTTTTTAGAAAGTTGGGCGCTCTTCTTCATAATGGCTGTTGTTCGATGTAGTTTAAACCTCATGCATGCAATTCTTTGGTGCATTGGGGAAGGACAAAACAAGCAAAATTGTAATAAATCATGATGCCAAGTGAATGCCGCCTTTCATGAGAGGCATTTTATCACATCTATGGGTGGCATTTCACCCCACCATTCCCCCGCCATGCCTGACCTACGCAGTATAGCCCTCTGATGGATGAGACCTCTGAGTTCTACCTATTGTTTCACTATTAGTTATGAGTAATAACACCTCTTCTTATTAAAAAAATCGATATTTTACGATTTCCTCCTTGAGTCCGTATCCCTGCAACGGGATCGATTGTATTGTAACAAGCCTCGTTTCACCTTCAGAATAGCGTGGAAGCCACCTAGCCATGTGAATGGTCTTTAAGTTCTATGCACTGTAGTTCCATCTACTTAGGAACACTTGAGCAACGGCGTGAGCAAGTCATGTTCTAATTCTTTTTGATTACGTGGGCCGAATTGAGGGAAGCTCGAAATTTGCTTTACCCCTGGATTTGCAACATTGCATGCATAATGACAACGAGTAACCAGAATCATGTTATGGATAGAAAGAAACACAGTTCATCGCCTCCCCATCGATCTAGACTCCGAGTTCCAAAGGCTAGCCAATGGGGATGGGGCTCGCAAACGCGACGACCAATTGTACGCCGGCGCACGACCTTTCATACTAATACCCCATTAGTTGGTAATTATTACCGCCATATACGGAGATAAATTACAGCCAATGGTCAGGAGCCACATACGGAGTCAGGCGCCTTGGTACAGCGCGACCAGGGACGTCATGCTGGCTGTTTTGGGCAGTGGGTATTAATACCAAGGCTGTGGCAGAGAAAAAGCCGCATCCAACCCCGTTCCAGCAATTCTCGAAATCCTAACACAATCTCCGATTCAATCTCTTTCTCTTCGATCTACTCTCTATATAAACATCCAGCTAATGCTAAGAAGAAATACATATCTCCCATTTACGAGCCGATATTACTGTTTTTTGCACGTTGGGTTCCATCTCCTTGGACTTTGATTGAGCTCGTCCCGCTCGCTCTCCTACACCCTCTAAACTGGGTCAACTACCTGTTGAGCTGATACTTACGTTGATGAGGGATAGAATTTATCCCAGAGACCGACAAAGGTAAGCAATGCGCACACAGTATCTATCACAAAAATCCTCGTTCTCAGCTTCCCTGTGTTGAGGTTGTGCAAACCAATTGAACAGAACGTTCCCGCTATCTATCCCTCTTCTTATTCCATTCCCCTTGTTTGTTAAGTATGATTGCTGTTCCCCACATTATTGATTCTGCAACGCCTGGATGCATGCCTTGATTGCTTAGTCGAGGTTTCATGCCCCTCCCCTTGACCGAGTCATACATGAGCTTCTTCATCACCCAGTTACTTTGGGTTGTTGAAGCAAACGGAAATGAAGGAGGGCTTATGCAAATGCTCGAGCGAAGATGAGGAATGGAGGCAATAAAAGGGATATGGTTTCGCAGTTGAAAAGAAAAACCATTGCGAGCAAAATCAACATATTCAAGAAAGTAAGAAAACAGGCAGAAGATACAAGGTCTACAGGGGAGGGGTTTCAGCTTAGGCGGAGAGACTGAACCAAGTTCTTCATTTGTTTTGTTTTCTTCTTTTCGAAGAGCAGCATACTTCTCTATCTTGCTTCAACTACTTTCTCAAAAGCCCAGAAACTAATTAGGATTAGCAGCTCAGTTACCTTTTATTTGACCGTTCGCTACTATCCAATCGGTAAGACACGATGTCGACGAAAGCGGTTCCAATAGTTCCTCCCCGTCCATCACGGTCTCCAAATACCGTATCGTCTCAAATGCCAAAAGTGCCTCCGCGCCCAAACAGCCGCCGCGTCGGTCGCTCTGTGTCCCCTAATCACGATGGCTATGCTCCGTCACCATTAAACGAATTGCCAGCTGGGTCGAGTACGAGAAATCAACATTCTAGCGATGCTTCCAATACTCCCGCTCGTCCTCCCGCTCGTCCTCCGAGTGTTGCTCTGCCGTCGGTTGGTCAGGAAGGGATGGAATATGAGGGCCTAGATTACCAAAATGCAAGCATGGAGAACAAGGAGGAAAGCCACGACCCTCCTGTGGAAACACGAAATGTGAATCGCGACCTACATCTTCACGCTCCGAAGCCATCATTGCCATCTTCCAGCGCTGAAGCGCAGGTGCGGGCCGTCACCAGAACCAGCCCACAACAGGCTGCCGCCGCGGGTTTTGGGAATGCTACATCCTCCCCTGACCTCGATGATATGGATCGCCCGGGGTCCGGAAATTTAATGCCTAGCCTTTCTCAACAGGTATCTTCTTTTTCTTCAACGAACCGTAGAACATCCATACAGTATGGAGAGGAAGGAGGTATCCCTGAAATTGGCCAGCGTGTACCAATGGACCCTAACGCAGGCGATGTGCAAGCCCCGTCGCCATCTCCGTATTGTGATGAAGGGCATCACCACGGAGTAAGTAGCGGTGGGCAACAGCGAGCCGGGAACATCCACCAGCGTCCTAAAAGCAGCCGAGAAAACTCCCTTCCACCGGGTAGCTATGGGCTTCACGGCCATGGAGTTCACCCGACTGGCAATTTTGAAAGGGCTTGGTATGACAAACACCCTGATGAACTGGCACGCGAAGAACAGGGCCTGTATGGACCAGGCCTAGGGCATGAACGGCCTGAGTGGGCTTTAAGCGGTGATGATTTGAATAGGATTGTAAAGACCTCCGCGAGCACAGGTCTTGGTTTGGGTAAGATACGATTCAGTTAGAAGAACTATACGCACTCTTGCTATTAGGAAGTGAATCTAACTCTTTATAGCAACTCATGCGGACGTTCCAGGCATACCCCAGGAAGAACTGGCATACCTGGCGACCGACGAACTTACTTCTCGGCTTGCATCTGCACCTCCTGAATCTGTTTTGTCCAAGGGTGAGTATCACCAGTCACAAGACTCAGTAGAGAATCCCCTTAAGGAATATATTGTTACATCAGCAGCAGATACTAAACGTAGTGTTCCACAAGCAGGCCTTCAGGAGAAGGAGAAAGTAATCCATATCGATGAGCCGCTTCATCGCCAACACCACCCTGATGGCTTTGCCCCCGCACCAGAGGACCATAAACCACATGGCGCCCAGTCATTGGAGGAGCCTAGTTGGGCCGAAGAGGGTCCAAATGATGCCCCTGTGCTTGCAGCAGACGAAATCGAACCAGGTGCAGAGCATTTACCACCTGCCATCTCGCCCACTTTCGAGCACGGCTCTCCCACTCTTAAGGGTCAAAGTCGATCACACAGCCGCACTGAAAGTCGTCCGAGTAGCCAGCCATCCCTTACCCATGGTGGAGTGTCAAGCAGGGTGAGGTTTGGCTCACGAAGTGAGGAACGCGAGGAAATGCATACAGAACTTGAAGACGTTCGAGAATATGAACCACTATTCCCAGACGACGATGAGGAGGCGAAAATAACTGCGTCTACAGAGCGATTTAAACGTCAACCTATGCCACATAGATTCCCGAGTAAGGATATTTGGGAAGATGCTCCGGAATGCTTACAACTGGAAGCTACAGTCTCAACTCTAGATGTTCCAAGTGAACATGTCGGTAATGAGGAGAAGTCCCCATTGGAACGGCCAGAGCATCAAACTTTGCAGAGCAGGCATGGGGCTGCACCAAGTCCTATATCCCCATCAAACGAGCAAAGCCACCTTGAGGATGAAAAGACATCCATTTCGGAGTGCAAACAGCGTTTCCCAAGTAAGGATATTTGGGAGGATGTTCCTGACAGTCAACGACTCGTCACAACAGTCCAGACTCCACAGGAGGTGACGACAGCAACTTCACCTGAAAGCCCAACAAAACCCGCAACACCTACTTCTCCTGCGCGGCTTTCAAAACCGATACGCCCAGTAGAAGGAAGCGTAACAAGCCCGACCGAGACTAGAAAACCGCCTACAATCCCTAATCGTCCAAAACCTCAAGTCCCTGTACGACCAGCAAAAACACTATCGCACAATTCCAACGAAAACCTAACAAAAACGACATCTACCAGTTCTGTTGATACCACAGCACCTACAGTTGTAAAGGCAAAGCCTCCTATCCCCTCTCGACCTGGGGGGTCCAAGATCGCTGCCTTGAAGGCTGGCTTTCTCTCGCAATTGGAGGGCCAGCTGAAGTTGGGACCTCAAGGCCCCAAGCCTCAAGGGAAGAAACCCGAACCCGAAGAGCTTGTTGAGAAAGTGCCTCTGAGCGATGCTAGAAAGGGCCGAGCGAGGGGACCAGCTAGAAGAAAGCCCGCCGTTCCTGCTGCTGTACCCGCCGCAGAACCCGTTAAAATGCCTGCCGCTCCCACGGTCAAAATCGTAGACCCCTGGAATGTATGGCAAATAGGTGGAGATGGAATTCTCGTGGTTGGCAACACACCTCCCGCCAAGGCTAAATCCATATCACCACCGGATTTTCCTTCTGCCGCAAATCTGGAGCCAAGGCTTAGCGAGAGTTCGAAACAGGCTTCTACTGTACGCGGAGCTACCGTTACATATACGGATGCTTCTCCCGAAGCGACATCCACACCAATTACGACAGAAGAATCCGCTGACCTTGCTCCCGCTGTTGTCGACTCCGCAACGACATCGTCGTCGGTATCGCGAAACCCAATGCCCACCTCACCAACATCGTGCCAAGATAATGGTTTAGAAGCGCCACCACCAACACTTGTCGAAGCGGAGATGGAAGCCAGTGATGATAGACCGCTTGTAACTGGGCCAGATAAGGAGGTTGTTGAGCAAAGCTCTGAACCGACGGAATCATTGGAGAAAGAAACATCGAAAACTTCAGATTCTGTCGGAACTGCTTTGTAATCAAAGGAGGAGGGAGTTGTAGATTAGTTGGGATTTGGATAAACTTTTTCTATATAACGATCATTTATGTTCCCTCTTAAGGTTCTCATGCTTCCTTCTTTTTGGTGGACTTGGGCCTGCTTCTTTGCTTGTGCTGGATTCTATCATTCAAGCTGAAATTTGAATACTTCCAGCAAGAGAGGGAGGGGGAAAAGAAACAAACTTGGAAGCGAAGTGTTGAAATATTGTGCTCTAGATGCGCATCGTCGATTTATTTGTCTCGTTGATATAACTACTCTAACAAAGTCCTGCAAGCCTGTCTCAATTTAGAACTCTATGGTTGAGTGTATTCCTCTTGCCTCCTTAATACACACACACACACACATTGTCTCTCTCTCTAAAATATAGCTTTTACTCCTATTCCCTCCCACTTGCCTACAGATGCCATTCGTGGGATTATTCATCATTTCCAGCCCGTAGAGCAGCAATTATCCAGGCACCTCGTTGAACGTGGTTAGAAACCCGGCTCTCCTCACGACAATTCAAACTACAGCTAGCTCCCACCAACCTCCATATTTAGTAATTACAACGCCAAAGGATCGCAGGGTCCTTTAAAAAAAAAAAGGGAGGAAAAGGGTTAAAACTCGGTTTAAAACTCGATCTATGTCTTGTCTCATCTAGTTCTAGCCATGTTGATGCCCACAGCAAATACTGAGCATCAACATGATTAGGTGTTGATAAGAGTTCAGCTTTTTTATCTTTTTTTTTTCTAGAATCTTGCAATTCTTTGATATTGTGATTACTTCATATATTATTCATCTGTAGATGTAAGAAGAAGTATATACTAATCATTGAAAGTCATTTTTAGCAGAATATCTATCTAGTTGATACACTCTGCTGATGAATGTTGCTGAGAAGTTATAGATGTTTGATCTAGATGATGAGCACTGCTCCCTGGGACTGTCTAGTTGAACATGATTTGAATTTGTAAAGGTGATTGATTATTCTAATCAGGATGAGAGGAGGTTTTCTAACCAACGGTTTGATGCCCGGGGTTAGAAAGCTTTTCATTTTCTAGATCTAACCACGTCCACTTCAACTAGGACCCGAGATAATCGCTATGCCACTCACTGTAACTGAGTTAGAATAAACCATATATTTCTCAAGGGATGATAAACTGGGTTAAAATGTAATATTTGTGATTATGTAGATACATGGAGCCGAACGTTAGGCGAGGGAGAAAATCGCAAACCCCCCCAACCCCCTATCCTATCCTTGCAAAATCCAAAGCATGTGATGTGAGGCCTGACTGAGTTAGGTAGATGTATAACAAAGAAGGGGTGAAATCATCTTGATTTAATTATGCTCGAATCTACTTGAACCAATAAATGCATTCTCGTGCATGTATTGAAAATCACACCGTACACTCACTCATAAACACAAGCACACGCACCGAGCGCCACGTCCACTATGGCAATCATCACCATTACCACCATCATCCTACTGATAATAGAACGAAAACGAAT